TCACAGAGCTAGTGCAGAAATGGTGGGTCCCTTTGATATGTCTTCCATATTTCCTCCCTAATTGGCTACTCTGCAGCTCCAGGAGCTTTCAATGCTTCTTCGAAACCTCTGCCAAGTGGTACCGGGAGGAGTGGTTTGCTTCCTGCCGTCCTACGAGTATTTGGACAAGGTGTACAAATACCTGGAACAGTCTGGAACCCTCGAGACGATTCAGTGCAGGAAAAGCGTGTTTCGTGAGGTCTCCGGATCGGCCGAACAGCTTTTGGATAACTATGCGCTGGCCATTAAGAAACCTGCTTCGGGCGGAGCCCTTCTCTTAAGTGTCGTGGGAGGAAAGCTCTCCGAGGGCCTGAACTTTGCCGACGATCTTGGCAGAGCAGTGCTCGTTGTGGGTCTACCGTACTCCAACCGCCAGTCGCCGGAGCTGGGGCAGCGAATGCAGTACCTGGATGCGAAACTAGGACCAGGTGCGGGAAACGAATACTACGAGAATCTCTGCGTAAAGGCAGTCAACCAGTGTATAGGACGGGCAGTCCGCCACATCAAGGACTATGCATGCGTGTATTTGGTGGATAAACGGTTTTCCGATCCCAAGATACGCGGCAAATTGCCGAAGTGGATTTCCCGCCACATTGTGGAGTCGAACGCCGCGAACGGGGGCTTTGGAGCAGTTCAAGCGCGCACTGCTAGGTTTTTTAAGGGTAGATAAATTATACGAATAATTAATTGTATTCTAGCATGTATTCTTTAGTTATATTTTTTATTAAAATTTTCATTTTGTTAATCAACAAAATTTGCAAAGAATGTCAAAAAAAATAATCCATATTCAATCCATAATCCATATTCAGACAATTATTTTTAAAGTTGTGGTCAAAAAACTGACTATTTTATGTCGGAAAATCGGAAAAACGGCATTTGGCAAATATTCGATATTTTCGATGGGAATTTTCATCATAACTTCAATAAAAATGATCGAAAAAATGAAAGAATGACAGTTTTGAGCAGCTAATTACCAACGCTAACCATCCCTATTACTTTTTGACGGAGTTGGGAAAATACATTTTTTTTGATTTTTTGCCTTTTTTGTAAGGGGTGACATCAACAAAATTTGCAAAAAATGTCAAAAAAATTAAGTTTTTATTTTTGGATACAGTTTGATTGGAAATTTAAATACGAGCTCAACGATGTATGACATTCCATATTCAGACAAATATTTTTAAAGTTGTAGCCAAAAAACTGAATATTTTATGTCAGAAAATCGGAAAAACGCATTTTGGCAAATATTTGATATTTTCGATGGGAATTTTCATCATAACTTCAATAAAAATTATCGAAAAAATGAAAGAATGACAGTTTTGAGCAGCTAATTACCAACGTTAACCATCCCTATTACTTTTTGACGGAGTTGGGAAAATACATTTTTTTTTGATTTTTTGCCTTTTTTGTAAGGGGTAACATCAACAAAATTTGCAAAAAATGTCAAAAAAATTAAGTTTTTATTTTTGGATACAGTTTGATTGGAAATTTAAATACGAGCTCAACGATGTATGACATTCCATATTCAGACAATTATTTTTAAAGTTGTGGTCAAAAAACTGACTATTTTATGTCGGAAAAACGGCTTTTGGCAAATATTCGATATTTTCGATGGGAATTTTCATCATAACTTCAATAAAAATGATCGAAAAAATTAAAGAATGACAGTTTTGAGCAGCTAATTACCAACGCTAACCATCCCTATTACTTTTTGACGGAGTTGGGAAAATACATTTTTTTTGATTTTTTGCCTTTTTTGTAAGGGGTGACATCAACAAAATTTGCAAAAAATGTCAAAAAAATTAAGTTTTTATTTTTGGATACAGTTTGATTGGAAATTTAAATACGAGCTCAACGATGTATGACATTCCATATTCAGACAAATATTTTTAAAGTTGTAGCCAAAAAACTGAATATTTTATGTCAGAAAATCGGAAAAACGCATTTTGGCAAATATTTGATATTTTCGATGGGAATTTTCATCATAACTTCAATAAAAATTATCGAAAAAATGAAAGAATGACAGTTTTGAGCAGCTAATTACCAACGTTAACCATCCCTATTACTTTTTGACGGAGTTGGGAAAATACATTTTTTTTTGATTTTTTGCCTTTTTTGTAAGGGGTAACATCAACAAAATTTGCAAAAAATGTCAAAAAAATTAAGTTTTTATTTTTGGATACAGTTTGATTGGAAATTTAAATACGAGCTCAACGATGTATGACATTCCATATTCAGACAATTATTTTTAAAGTTGTGGTCAAAAAACTGACTATTTTATGTCGGAAAAACGGCTTTTGGCAAATATTCGATATTTTCGATGGGAATTTTCATCATAACTTCAATAAAAATGATCGAAAAAATTAAAGAATGACAGTTTTGAGCAGCTAATTACCAACGCTAACCATCCCTATTACTTTTTGACGGAGTTGGGAAAATACATTTTTTTTGATTTTTTGCCTTTTTTGTAAGGGGTGACATCAACAAAATTTGCAAAAAATGTCAAAAAAATTAAGTTTTTATTTTTGGATACAGTTTGATTGGAAATTTAAATACGAGCTCAACGATGTATGACATTCCATATTCAGACAAATATTTTTAAAGTTGTAGCCAAAAAACTGAATATTTTATGTCAGAAAATCGGAAAAACGCATTTTGGCAAATATTTGATATTTTCGATGGGAATTTTCATCATAACTTCAATAAAAATTATCGAAAAAATGAAAGAATGACAGTTTTGAGCAGCTAATTACCAACGTTAACCATCCCTATTACTTTTTGACGGAGTTGGGAAAATACATTTTTTTTTGATTTTTTGCCTTTTTTGTAAGGGGTAACATCAACAAAATTTGCAAAAAATGTCAAAAAAATTAAGTTTTTATTTTTGGATACAGTTTGATTGGAAATTTAAATACGAGCTCAACGATGTATGACATTCCATATTCAGACAATTATTTTTAAAGTTGTGGTCAAAAAACTGACTATTTTATGTCGGAAAATCGGAAAAACGGCTTTTGGCAAATATTCGATATTTTCGATGGGAATTTTCATCATAACTTCAATAAAAATGATCGAAAAAATTAAAGAATGACAGTTTTGAGCAGCTAATTACCAACGCTAACCATCCCTATTACTTTTTGACGGAGTTGGGAAAATACATTTTTTTTTGATTTTTTGCCTTTTTTGTAAGGGGTGACATCAACAAAATTTGCAAAAAATGTCAAAAAAATTAAGTTTTTATTTTTGCATACAGTTTGATTGGAAATTTAAATACGAGCTCAACGATGTATGACATTCCACATTCAGACAATTATTTTTAAAGTTGTAGCCAAAAAAACTGAATATTTTATGTCAGAAAATCGGAAAAACGCATTTTGGCAAATATTCAATATTTTCGATGGGAATTTTCATCATAACTTCCATAAAAATGATCAAAAAGATGAAGGAATGACAGTTTTGAGCAGCTAATTACCAACGCTAACCATCCCTATCACTTTTTGACGGAGTTGGGAAAATACATTTTTTTGTGATTTTTTGCCTTTTTTGTAAGGGGTAACATCAACAAAATTTGCAAAAAATGTCAAAAAAATTAAGTTTTTATTTTTGCATACAGTTTGATTGGAAATTTAAATACGAGCTCAACGATGTATGACATTCCACATTCAGACAATTATTTTTAAAGTTGTAGCCAAAAAAACTGAATATTTTATGTCAGAAAATCGGAAAAACGCATTTTGGCAAATATTCAATATTTTCGATGGGAATTTTCATCATAACTTCCATAAAAATGATCAAAAAGATGAAGGAATGACAGTTTTGAGCAGCTAATTACCAACGCTAACCATCCCTATCACTTTTTGACGGAGTTGGGAAAATACATTTTTTTGTGATTTTTTGCCTTTTTTGTAAGGGGTAACATCAACAAAATTTGCAAAAAATTAAAAAAAAAATAATTTTCTTTTTTTTTGATACAGTTTGATTGGAAATTGAATTACGAGCTCAACGATGTATGACAATCCATATTCAGACAATTATTTTTAAAGTTGTGGTCAAAAAACTGACTATTTTATGTCGGAAAATCGGAAAGACGACTTTTGGCATCTTTTTGGTGTCCTATTCGGAGGTACATATGTGTACCAAATTTGGGGCCTGGCATGTGACAGTCAAAGGAGCCATCTGTTGGGAAAATAATTTTTGGTTCTTAAAGTTTTTCATCGTGTATATTGGTTCGAGCAGCTGCTGAGCATTTAGCCGATAAGCGAACCAGGGCTGCATCTGCGCAAGGGGAATTCTCGATTCGATTTTTGCCACCTCTCCGGCAGCACCGATAGTTTTCGATAAGCATCGATTTTATTTCCAGCTCTAGAAAAACTGCGTTTTTTCCCCGTGTTTTTCGTGTTTTAAGCCCAGAAGTTCTTTTCCGAATGAACATGTAAAGCCAAACCGATTTGTGCGGTGGATCGGGGACTAAAGATTCGAGCTGTGCTGTGTGAGGGCTTTTAAGTGTATTGAAGGTGCGCAAAGGATCGAAAACCTTCGAAACACCCGTTCTTCGTGTGTGTGTGAGTGTAGTGTGTTTTCTCTGTATGCCGTTATGTTGTTTATTTATTGTTTGTTTTAAATAAGAAGGCTTGCGTAGAAGCAAGTTCAAGTTTGGTACTTCTTCCATAAGTGTACTTCTTCCATAACTTCCCAACCACTTGAAGTTTATATTTACACCCCCCACCCACAAACGCGTATTGATAAGCGTGTAGTTTGTGAGTAGGAGTGCGTGCATGTTTTCCTTTTATCATTAATGCAACAAAAAACCGAGGCCGAAAAGCAACAACAAGCGCGAGTCGCCGCTATTGAACCAATGTTGAACATTAATCGTCGATGAAAAAGGGCAACGTCCCCTCAGTGAGTCTTTACAGTCTCCGGTGGCCTTTGGTTTGAATTATATAAAATAATGTAAAGTGCCTTTAGAAAAAGCAATCAAGACTGGTAAAGAAATGGCTAAATTCTAGAGCCTAACTCTTCTCTATTCAGATAGACAACTTACACGTATTTATGAGCATACAGGTTTACTGCTGAGTGTAATTTTAATAGCGGATAGAGCTGAATATCTAATACTACACCCCCCGTTGCCCCCCATTTAGTGGTTATTCTTGTTAGTTGCTGTCGCCATTGTGTTTGTCTCCACTCCACTGGCAAACTCGTTTTGCTTGACTTTGATGGAAGCACAGAAAAAACACAAAAGAGGAAGGTAACTGGCACACATTTAAAACTGAAAAATCGGCAGAAAGAGCTGAAAGCCGAAAACCCGCTTGCAATTGCACTTTGGCAGTTGGAGTTGGATATCGTTATCGATAGCTTTTCATTCTGCTTGTTTACTTCTTGGACTCCATATCTATTCTACAACTGTCCATTTGCGCCTCCTCTTTATCGGGTTCTTCCAGAGTAGTTGCTCTACTTCATTCTCAGATCCCATTCCCATTATCCAGAGTAGGGAATACCCTTCCATCCAAAGTAGGGGCGTATGCATACAAAAGCCATTATTGCTGACTTGTCAAAAATCTTGTTGCTTTCTTCCAGAGCAATGTGATTACACCTCATAATAGCCGTTGGTTGCCCTTTCATATGGTTATTTTAAAGTATTTGTGCAGGGTATCCAGAAATCGCCATCATCTTGTCTGTGAGCGACTCTCTTCTCTCTGAGCGAACTGAGCGGCGCGCAGGTCGCTCCCACTGTTAGAGATGGCAATTTGATGAGAGCGAAACAGGCCGATTAGATTTAAAAATCGAATTCACGTAACATTACAGGGATTTACCACCAACGTTTGATTAAATTAAAAATTCTACAATAATTTTAATAATTTTAGTAAACTGCGAAAACTCCACCCCCACAATCCTCTCAAAAATGTTGATCTGCATATTATCTAGAATCAAACGGCTTGAACATTTGGCGAATAAATAGCTAAATAAATAGCTAAATGCGCTGTCACCACACACTCTCTTTCTCTCTCTCCGCTTGACTCTCTCCCGTGGCGGCTCTCTCGCAGCCAGAAAAGTCTATTTAAGCAACCGCGAACGAGCGCTCTTTGTTATTCCACTGTGAACCGCGCGACGGTCGTCATCGCAGGGTCGAATAGAATCTCGAATAATTTTCAACTCGTCAGCAGAGGGTTCCGCAACCGCCGGGCTGGAAACATATATTCCTTGGATCTAAACGGATTGCGGAAGGGGAAGCCCCGATTATCAGGATGATATTCTGATATTTTTCTTAAGCACCTCAGACGGCAGAAGTTGGCGAAGGAGTAGACAAGCAGGGAGGAGGGTGCGAAACGGAACGAACCGGAAACGAAACGGGTCGCGGCTTGAAACGAAACGGTAAATGAAACAACGCCCTGAACGCCCGACTTACGGCTATAAAATCGAGCTGAACCCCGATCGCGGTGTCTTGCAGTGAAAATCCAATCCAAAAATTGAAAAATCTGTTTGAATAAAATGTGCCGAATGTAAAGCGCGCAACTTGTGAGCATTACTACCTTAGTAGTATACCATAATTTTTTTTTACCATTGACAGCTAATCGCAGCGCTGTTTACATGTGTGTGCATATTTTTTTTTGGATTTGACAAGTTTTCTAATATATTTTGTTTGGGTGAAAAGTGAAAGTGAAAATTTAGAGCAACGAACAGGACGCGCTTAAAACGAAGAGAGAAAGGGAGTGAGAGCATGCGTTGTTGTTTCTGTTTTTTGTTGTTTTTTTTTTTGCAGGACTCTCCCCCGCATACACGCTCTCGCAAACGCTCATGCTAACGGTCCTTGTTCTCTCTTGCAGCGGCTCTCTCTTTCTCAGCGGCGGCGGCGTTCTGTGACGTCAGAGGCAGCGACGTCCTTCGCTGGCAGACGCACGCACACACACACACACACTCACACGCACGCACGCTCACTGACAGACACAATACCATACTTAGAGAAACTCCCACCAAGAGAACCCTCCCCCTCAACAACAACAACAACAAGAACAACAGCTTCGCCAACAGCAGCATCAAATTAAAGAGAGAGCATTTATATTCCTTTGTGGCAACGCGAGTGTACATGTGTGTGTGTTTCGAGGCTGCCGCACCACTACAATTGCAACTGCAACTACAACTACAACTACAACTACAACTACAACGGCACTAGCAATAGCGACACCAACAACAACTAAGCACAACACAACCATATAGCAACAAAAATGGAACAGCCGAGCATTCTCGTCAAAATCCTGCACTCGATTCCGCACGTGAATTACACATTCCGTCGGGTTAACGACACCTTCAATCCGGACAGCGATGTTTACCTCGAGGTGAGTACCAGTCCACTCCGCTCCCATTCCCATTCCCGTTCCCAATGCACAGGCACAGTGCTCCACTGATGCGATTTCCCACTTTGATGACACCATTTCGATCCAGACGCCCAAATCGCATTCAAATCGCATATGCAAACCGTTGAAGATGCTTCCCTTCGACTGAAAGTTACTCTGCATCTGACCATCTCTTCTTTTCCGCGTGAAAACTCGGCCGATAACGGTTACTTTGGGCATAGAAGGGGACAACCATTTGGGTTAAGCGGCGGTAAATGAGTCATACGTGGGAAAGAAGGGGAATGCATTGCAATAAATTAGTGCCTATCCGGGCCCAATTGATAAACAGAAGCGCCACTTTGGAGGCATTCCCAGTTGTAAACAAATGCCAAGTACGTACCCCCTATCTGAGATTCCATAGTGCATATTATGGGCACTGCTTGCAGTCGGCTCCTCCTGCGCTTCCGACACCAATCGCAATCGCAAGTACCACTTAAGCGGAACTCGAGCATACCCACTCGAGATTCGGAGTCCCATTCCGAGTCTATTTTGGAATTTGGTGCGTGGGTGCGTGTGTTGTGTGTGTTGTGCCCTTTGTTGCCGCTCCCTGGGCTTTCCCCCCTGGAATTGTCTCTTTTCCGCCTGGTTTTTACCTGCCCTCGGGTCCTGTTCCGTTTGCAGTTGCATGGGACTTCGACATGAGGACATGGTGACATGAGGCATCGGCATCGAGCGCAGGACACAAAAGTGCGGAATACAAAGGCGAGGAAAACGCGTGGATAAATTTTAATTTCCACCGCTCGTCCTCTTCCTCTTGCTCGTTTTGCCCCGCCTCTAGTCGGCCCATTTGCCAGTTGTTCCGCACTGCAGTCTCCCGATTTTCCGCTCTGGTGCGAGGGAGAGAGACCCGATTTCTGTTGCTGTCCCTCCTTCGGTTTCTGCTTCTGTTGTGAAAGAGCGACTCTAGCTGGTTTCGTTTCCCATTCGTTCCTGCCATGTGCGCTCCATGTGCCTCCGGCCATGGAAAGGGGCGGGGTGCAGTTGGGGGTGGGGGTGGGTGTGTAGACTGTGGTTTGGGAACCATGCGGAACGGCTGGAAGGGAACTGGAGGAGGTGGGGCGAGCAGCAGCTGCACACTTCCGGCTTCCTTTTCGGCCTTTTCCCCTTGTTATTCCTCATATTCTTGCTTTGTTTCTTCGCCAGACCAGCCGATCATCATCATCATCCTCATCATCCTCCCTATCTGCCTGGTATCCTCACCGCATTATGTACTCTTTCCACGGGGGGAGGCGGGGCAGGACGACGCCCTTTTAGCCGGCTTCGCAATCAGCATATGCAAATTGCGAGCTCTTGTCCCGGGTTACTCCTCGCACCCTAAAATCGCAGCGTGAAAATTTGATTAAAATTAGCTGATTTCTTCATTCTCCATTCCGTTTTCCCGATGCTGGGAAAACGCCGGCTTCCAGCGCGAAAATCGTGTGCGTGCGAAAATTCAGGTCAGCTGGCAAAGCTATGGCTTCGGTTTTTCTTTTTCGGATTTGTGCTGTTGCAGTTGGACGTAACTGTGGACGTGGATGTATGTATGTAGGTCAGGCTGCACTACTGTTCCCCACAGCTCCCCACGATTGCCATGGAGGCAGAAGCTATGCATGGATGAGGTGAGGTGGGGGATGAATGAGGAGGTCCGGACTTGGGGCGTAAAATTTACGCGCGTCAGCAAAAGTCATCCGTATACTTGAAAAAAAGAAGCGGGCCTGCAAAATCGACATATGTATTTTGTATTTCAAACCTCTATCGAAATGAAAAGCAGTTGCGATTATTACGCAAGAGCAAGAATATGCTTCTGATTGCTAGGTTCAATCACCTGAATACGACTCCTCTGTCCGATTTTTTTCAGTGTGAGTCGGCAATGTACGGCTAATTGGTGGGGCAGGGCTTTGAGTTCCAGCAATAGATGGGGGGCGGGTGTGGGAGAGTGGAAGACTTACATCACTTTGGACTACTTTGGGATGCGATAAACACTCGAGGGCGGCGGGTCCTTCAGCAGCATCGCGGCTCGTCCTTATCCACGCACCACCAGCGACCCACCCATCCCGTCCAATCCCAGTCAATCCACTCATCGCACAGATTACAGCGATGACGATGGCGGTGATCAGTTCAACCTTCAACTGGTCGCGGACGTGGATGTGGACGTGGACGTGAATGATGACAACAGACAAGGCACAACCCCACCGCTATCTGTGCCTATGCGGTATATATGTACTTTATGGCTGTGCGGGCGCCCTCTTTGCGGGAGGGAGAGGTGGGGAGAAGTGCCCGCATCGGGCAGATGAATTCATAGATTGGGTTAAAATTAAACGCGGCCTGGAGAACGAGAGTGGATGAACTGTGCAGTCCGTACAAGGCACAAAACTAAACAATTTCCTGGCAAAATCGTTGTCTTCAGCCTATAGCTATTATACCTATATTATCCGTATGCTTATGACCTGAGAATTGAAAACTAACAATGGTTTGGTTTCAATAAAAAGAAGAGTGAGCAGTGTAGCATATTCGATTGCCCGGATTGCTTTATCTTTTTCCATGTTTTGCCACAGCCATAATAATCATACTTGCAAATGCTTGGCCAAAGCTCTGGCTTTTCCATTTTGCAAATGACAAAGAATACTCGCAGGCCTCCTTAATCTTCCCAGCCTTAGTGTACTCGTATTCATGGAGATTGCTCTATATATGTATGGCATGCATTTTATGCAGATTGCGCTTGTACGTACTCCGTACTTACTCGTATATGCATTTTGAATATATCGGGCGGATTGTCAACCTTTTGTGCCTGCGTCAACACTTTCACAACGCCTGGGACTTTCGTTGCGGGTTATGGCAACTGCAATCTGTCCGTCTGTTACTCCTGCCCCAATCCCTTTCCTTTTTGCATTTTTGCATTCCACCCGATAGATTTGCGCCTGCTGTTGGCATAACAAAAGCAACCAGCGAAGGACTTGGCTGATTCAGATTCATATTCGGATGCAGACTGCGATTTCCATTCCGATGCCGATGCCGATGCCGATTCCGATTCCTACTCCTACTTCCACTTCCACTTCGTGGCTGACTGACAGACAGCTGCCCTCACATTAGCCAGATGTGTGTGCCCGTGCCCACTTTACAGATTGTTTTGCATCTGTATCTTTCGCTTGCTTTCTTTACTCCTCTTTTACGACTCGTCATAAAGTTGCTGCACTTGGATCTGGATGGGATTTAGATGAACTGTCTGGGCTCGGAAGAACGGCTGTGTGTCTGTGTCCCCAAACTGCAGTGGCTTCTCTCTGCTCCTCTTTATTTCCGCTGTTTATTTGCTTTTCGGCCCGACCCGGCTTTGTTTGTCCATCGAAGAAGCTGAAGATGCTGACCCACAGATTCATCGAGAGGCTGCGGACCACCCAAGTCAAAACGAGTTCGATTTCTGTATGGAATTGAATTGATTTGAAATTAGCCACCCACACCTTTCAGCGTTCTTTGGTGATTTCACTACGCTCATAGGTGTCTTGTGGTCCATCGAACATTCGTCGTTGTATCACTGTGATCTGAGATCATTTTGTACCACCAAGCTTGTAATGCCAAGCTTGCTTTTCCTGATGACATCAGAAAGTGACGCCATTTCGTGCACATTTGTTTAGTTTGCTGCATTAAACGGATTTTACTCTGCGTTAGAGTAAACAAAGTTCAAGTTCAAAAGCGAAACATTCCCCTGCTTTTCATATTCACTCCCCATCATCTGGTTATCTATATTTATCCACCCACCTACACCGCATTAGCAGGGAAATCTCGATTGTGTGCCTTTGCATGCCATTCGGGAATTCTCTGGGCCCCTTTCTTCAGCTCCATCTGCGTGGGCATCTCGCATTTCTTGTATACTCGTACAAGGCCAGCATCTTGAAAAACCCCCATGAATGGGCCAGCACGCGACTTTCCTACACCAGGTTCCTAAGTTGCTGGCGAGATTTCATCCGCGTTAATGAGCTCGAACTTAGCCGATCGTTACGATCAGGCGACCATCATTGGGGCTCTACGATCTGCACATTTGAAATTCATCATGGAACGCTTCTGCATTAGCATATGAAATTATGCCACGTCGACGATTCCCCTTTCAATTCCACAATTGTTCCCGGGTTTCATTCAATGGGCTTCGTGTTTGCTGAGGGGAAGTGGGGCCAACGGACTTGAACCTCAAACGATTCACATTTCTTCTTGGTTCGGGGTTTTATGTTCGAGTAGTGTCGAATAGGTTGTTTCCCTGTAACGCACTTGAGAGAATTTTCTATGGAATAAGCGTACTTAAATACTTTGATTTATTATCGAACATAAAGAAAAGCGATTGTTTTGAGGTATGATGTTCAAACTGATTGATTTCAGCGGAAGCAAAACCTTACTTATCTCTGGCTTATCTCTAAAACCGGACCAACCTTGACTTGTCCTCCGGCAATCTCCAGTTGCCTGACCCTATGGCCCTTTCTTATCTGCATCTGGTATTGGAAAAGGGCGGCAGATGCGGAATGGAGAAACTATGGCGCGGTGACAGAGCGGAAACGGGGCTATCGCTTTATATTTATGCATTTATTATAACTGTTGTCTCTTTTCCGAGGGCCGCCACTTGGGGGCGTCGAGGGGGGGCAGGATGTTGGTTGGAGTTGGGCTTGGGCTTGGAAAACTGGTTTTCCATCGTCAAACATTCTACGAGGAAGGGGAAAAACGAAAACAAGTCTCACCCACGCGAAGAGAAAACTCGATCACAGCCCGGAAAATCAACAAATACTTTGCTCCTCGAGTTCTGATATTTCTGATATGCTGCGTAAATAACCCAATAAGTTATAGATATTCGAAGCAGAATTGCGATTTAGAAGTTTATTTCGGAATGCAAATAGCTTACTACTTGCTAAGCTATATATGCTTGGTTCTAATATTAAGTTTTTTGCTTTCCATGTGAACTACTTGAGATATTGTGGTTACCATACAGACCATACCTTTGTATCATAACTTCTGAATCATATCCTTGGGTGATTCATTCTCGGAAACCTTGGCTTGTTATCTTATCAATATGTACTTTTTCGCCTGTAAAAAGCTTTTTTTATGTTCTTGGAACCGCTTTCCGCAACAATTGATGTGAAAAGTTTTGGTTCCTACTTGGAAATCCCTCAAAGGCGCTGATTTGAGCTCAAGAGCTGTTCAAATTGAATCTTTCGTCGCTGTGTTAATTGTGGCGATATTTGCATCCCGCTGGATATTCATGTGAATAAACATGGGAATCCGTCGTGATATATTCTCCAATTAGCCCCTCATCGTCATCGAGTCCCCGCAGTTCTTCTCTAGTTTTTTCACCTCTTTCGTGGCGGTATTCACACTTCCCATGGAGAACTGGGGAAATACTCAATTAAACGAAGCATGTGGACTGGAGCGGGGCACCAGATACCAGGGGGGATTCAGAGGGGCAACTTCGAGAGCTTCAAGGTTATTTGTGCTGGCAATTTGCTCTGATTTAATTCAATTTGAGCAGCATCGAAGGCAGCGCGTAATTTTTGCCATTTTTAGCGCCGCTTTGTGGGAGTGGGGTGGTACTGGGGGTAGTTTCTCGCTCGTTAGCTGGGAAAATGTCCGCTTCACTTCGCAGATTGCACGGCCCGGAAAATGGTCGGAATGTGCATGGCAGGATTGATTCACCCACCAATATTTGGTTATGCTTAGCGAGATAATTATCAACGCAAGCTTAAGGATTTGCCAGGCAAATAACTCCGTTGCTGGCCCCATTTCTCTGTGTGTACTGAACGAAAAAGGTGCTGCGGAAGAGGTGGGTGGTGGGCTGGCTATTTCTCAAGGGTCATTCAACTGCGAGGACAAGTAAATGTGCCGAGGCTACGGGACAACAGCAACGACAACGGCAACGGCAACTGTAACTAGTTTTAATGATTATTTACATGGCACAAGTGCAATAAATAATAAATACGACTCGCAGGAAATGCAAGGCAAAGGAGAAAACTGCGCCTGAGAGGATGTTCCATGTCGGATTGGGTTGGGGATGGTGGTGCGTCCGGTGTCGATTCCGATTCCGATACCAATTCCGATTCCTATTCCAATTGACTGAATTGAAACTGATTGACAGCTGGGAATCGCAGCAGATATGCTCGAACCATAACATGGCCAGCATTGATTATCCAGTTTTTTATTGGCAGTAGAAGATTTGGTTCCATTGCCTAGGATCCCGCATTTAAATGGTGCCCATGGTGTTTTTCACAGGCGTCACTCGAGGCGTCCAAAGTATATCCATTTAGCCACTGAGTTTAGTCTGAAATCGTGAATCGTGAAACTGGAACTTGACTCTACGCTCTACTCAAACCGCCTGGAATGTACGTTTCAAGTGGCCTGCCTGACTCATTCGCCATTCATTCGAATTGAATATCCAATATCCTGGACGGGTAACTTAAAGCCTACAGTGCACATCGTACACAACGTCTTGTTTAATGACAGGCAATGAAATTACCGCCCAGTCAAGGCATTTTTTGTGGACAGAAGATGGTGCGGAAGGTTCAGTTTCTGTGCCTTGTGTCTTGTGTGTCTCTACATTGGCCAATTCAATTTAATTTCGGTAACGGAGCCGAGCAAAAAAGAAATTATCCTTGCAAAGGACACTCGACCATGAAGCCAACTAACAACAAATTGCAGTGCCAACCAAAAAGGCATCGAGTTGCAAGTTATTCAATTAAAAGTTTCTCCAATGTCCAGCGCAAAGAGCCTTGAACATGGAGTTCACTGAAACTGATTTTTATTTTGAGTTACACAACTGTCTGCCTCCTGGCTTGCATAACATACATTCTAATTAGAAATGTCACAGGACTTTGTTAATTAGTACTTTGTCAACTTTTCTGGAGCATCATTCATATGACAACATCCAGAGAACAAATATATCTATCCGCATACTCGTATACTCGCATACTCGTTTGTGCCTCGCATGGGATTTCACCTTCACATTATTCAAATAGTTCAATCGAATTCTGTTCCATGGGCTGGCCATCGTGAAATCAATGTCAATATCAATCAAATAAATTTTAATTGAAATCGAACAAACAACTCTGCTGCATCGCAACTTTCAGTGCAATGCTGTCACTCGGCATTTCGGCACTGTATGTGTTGGAATTGATTGGCCGAGTCTGGTGGAGGACTGTAATGAACCTAGACTAATCTGTACCATTTCCTTGCACCCTTACAGAGCCTGGTCATCCTGGCATCCATTCCCGCCGGCCTGCTTATCGGCTCTCTGTTCGGCCTGCTGCTCTACCTGTTGACCAGATGCTGCGACCGCCGCCAGAGGAAGCCGAGCGCCCAGCGCTGCCAGAGCTGCTCCTTGGTCATCATCACGCTGATGACCTGCGCTGCCATCGGATTAGGTGAGTCCTGGTTCCCCGAACCGCCGTGGCCAAGGCGAAGGCGAAGGGCGTTGAACCGCCGCAGTTGCATTTGCCAAGCACGTTTGCATGCATCCCTTTGCGGTTGCATCGCGTGTTGGCGGTTGGCGGTAGTCGGTAGTGGGCAGTCGGTTGTCGGTTGACGGTTGCCGGTTGTCGGTGGGCAATTGGCAATTAGCCAAAACGCAACTTATCGCCAATGGAGCGGAGCACACTGGCTGGTGGTCACGTATGCAAAGTCGCGGAGCGCAAAGAAGTGGAGCCAAAACTGGAGGAGCATGCGTCATCCGGCAGCGCTGGAAGTGGATGTGGATGTGAATGTGGCTTGGCTGGCGGCGACACAAGCGATGAAATAATAATTTAATTAGCCGCTGAGCCGCGCACAGAACTCTTAATTGAATCAAAGCGGCGAAGGGGCGAAATGTGGGCCGCGGCTCGCGTTACATCACTGACCTGCCCCGCGTTGATCTTGCCCCGATCTTTGATACCTTCGTGATCTCTGGCATGGTTTTTCGCCAGACCGCCTTGACTGCCCATCGACTGTCATACTGCCAGCCGCATCTCTCTGCAATATTAATGTGGCTCCCTGACTGATGCCCGCTTTTCGATTCGTGCTCCATTTGCAGGCTTGTACGGCAACGATGATTTCCATAATGGACTCCTTCAGGCCTTTGGATCCGGGAAGAGCGTTGAGGGTCTGGTGTTCACCCTGAAACGACAGGTAAGTGCTGTTCATAAATTTTAGAGTCACAAGCGTTGCGTACGAAGAGGAGCTGGCTTCCTTTTTCTCTTCTGGTTTTTGTCTAATTAAGATAGCAAGTTTAGCCAGCAAACTGCAGCAGCAGCATTTCCATATTTTCTTAGCAGACTTGCCTTTATATGCCTTTAGCTGCAAGTCTGAAGTGGAATCTTTAACTGGGCTAAGTTACCCAGTGGCCCTCCCTCGCTTAGTTCCACATGGATGGCATGGCTCCATGAACTTCTGCGCCCGCCATTCGCATTCGCATTCCTGTTCCTGTTCCCTTTTCCATTTCTATACCCCACCTATACCTATTCCTACTCCTGTTCCTATTCCTACTCCATTCGAAGCAGCCGCCCATTTGGCTCATTCTTGTTCATTATAATCAACCTAAAAGCTGGCTGCTGTGCTGACAGTTACGTGGCCACGTGGGACAGGACGGTGCGCTGGGTAATGGGGCTGACTGCGGGACTAGGGGACTAGGGGACTAGGGACTGGAGGAAGTGTCCTCCTGTCCTGGCCAAAGCTTTTGCATTTGCTCTTGCTTTCGTCTTTGCTTTTGCCATTCAGAAACTTTGTCAGCACACACACACACAGAGAGACGGGGGAGGAGAGCGAGAGGGCGGGGCAAACGAGCCGATAAGCCAAAAGGTTAAGGGTTGGGGTGGCTGGGTGGTTGAAGTGGCAGGGGGCAGGGGGCAGGGAAAGGAAGGTGAGTCAGCCAGGAGCATCAAAGGTAGACGACGTCGTCGTAGTCGTAACAGGGATTCTCTCAGAAAAGAGTGGCAAACAGATGGCTGGCATTGCTCGACTCTTGAGTAAAACGCTATTAATTATCCCCGGCACAAAGGACGGTGGTCGAACGGGGCGGGTAGGGACTCCGGACGGAGGGGGCGTGGCTGCAGCTGGCGACGTGCGTGTGTGGAGCCAGCCCTGGAACCCGACCGAGCCCCCAGCCAAGTGCGGAAGCCAAAGTATTACGATGGATGGAAACTATTCCCTTTTCTTCTGGCTTTTCTTCTTTGTGCCAGACTGGGAAAACAGGGGGCAAAGGACATGTGGGGGGGGGCCTTTCTTCGCCTCCAAGCCACCAGTATTTGGTCATTAACTTTTGAACTGCTTTTCCCTTTCTGGGGACTGAACTCGAGCTGCCAGTGCAAGTCGGTAATGGAAGTATTTGATTATTTCGCCTCGATTCGCACATTTTGTAATAAAATAAGTGGACATAGTAGTGGTGTGATTTGCATATACCTGACACCAGAATCAGCTAACAACTGTCTTTTTATTTTTGCTTACACACAGACGGAGAGCATCAAGCACGACCTGGAGACGCGAATGGCGGGGCACAAGGTGGAGCAGCTGGTGGAGAAGCCGCAGTATAACCAGACGGTGGTGATGCTGCTCATAGAGACGTCGCGCCTGGTCACGGAGAATACCTCGCGGGCGGTGGCCTCGCTGGACAGCATGGTGCACTACTTCATGAAGGCCAAGGGCAGCGAGAACGACACCTCGCTGATGGGATTGCTGCAGGTGAGTGAGCTGGGGTCCGTCCTCCTAGTCGTACTTGCCACGGAACTGCTAACCCACCAATCTCTCTTGCAGCTCGGTGAGTTCTACGAATCCATACGCTGGCCCGCCACTCTGGCCTTTCTCACTGTGCTCCTGCTGCTCTGTACGGTTCTGGTGATTGGCGTGGCCCGGCGATCCCGCTGCACCCTGATCTTCTTCAGCGTCTCGGGTCTGTTCTGCATCATCATCTGCTGGCTGCTAGCAGGCGTTTATCTGGCCGCCAGTGTGGCTGCCGGAGATTTCTGTATGCGACCCCATGACTATATGTGCCGTCAGGTGGGCATGGTGAGTCCTGGTACATGCATCCCACTTAAACTTATACTAATGGCTATCCGTACTCAGCGGAGTCCCTATGTTGACTTTCTTAACTGCGGCACACCGCGCAATCGCTTTATCCTGCGGCTGAACGAATCCCGGGATCTGGTGGACCGGGCCAGGGAAAGTGTGGAGCAAATGCAGCGGTGAGTGTCCAATCATTTGATTGGAGGGCAGTTTTAAGAGCTAGCTTGCATGAGTTCAGACAGCACTTATTACTATTATTATGGAGAAAAGAGTATATTCTCACGCATAAAAGGACGCTCAACTTGGAACCAAACTAAACCGAACATCTTTTATTGCAGCATGAGCCAGGAAACATATCCACACATCGACATCCAGCGCACGCTGAACGCCATGGACAACGATCTGGAGACCACCCTGCGCAACCTGACGACGCTGTCGGCCACTTTGGACCGCCGCGCGATCGACTTGCACTACGAGGACGCACTCCGCGGACTCTGCGGCGGCGGGCTACTGGGACTCAGTCTGATGATGGTGGCTGGTCTGCTGACCTCCTTCCTGCTGACGATCCTAGTGTACGCCGACTCTCACGCCTGGATCTATCTGACCAAGCGGTATGATGAATTGCGATGGTGGGATGGCCTTCTTATTTTAAACTTGTGTATCTGCATTTAAAGGCCAACGCTGGATGCGGACAAATCGGAGACAGCGCCACTATTTCCCGCCTCGAACGCGCCGAGCGCCAGCATCTCGCCCACAGCTCCGCTGGGAACGGGAACGATCAACAGGACGCTGCTCCACCACCAGCAGGCGTCGTCGGGCGGCATGGGCGGCGGTTCGGGTGCCATGCCGGGATCTGGAGGCGGCGCAGGGCCTGGAGTAGGCGTCGGCGTCAATGGACACAATGGCGTGGGGCCGTATCGCAACGGATCGGCGGGCATGAGACAAGGGTTGGCATCACCTTCATCTCAATCAAGCCACACCTCATCCACCGCTACTTACAACCACCACAACAACGGCACCACCAGTTACCACAACAGCCACCAACAACACAACAACCACCTGTACAGCAACCACTACAGCCACAGCAACAACCACTACAACAGCACACAGCATAGAACTAACCCAGCGGCGGGGGCGGTAGCAGCGGCGGTGGGCGTGGCCAACAGTGGCCAGCGATCGCCGTCGCCGCCGCCTGTCTACGATTTGGTGCATGGCACAAGGCATGATCTTTGATTTCATTTGATTTGTTGATATTCCCCAACCGCTCGACACCCGAATCCTTTTCCCTTTCCCTCTTGCGTTTGTCCCTGCCCCCATCCCCCTTCCCCTCTTGCAACTCGCTGCCCTGCCCACGATTCAATAGTTTGCCTGTAATTCCATGTGGCGTTCTTTTCGACCTCATTTAAATTGCGTGTATGAGCGAAAAGATAAAATCTGGGCAGCGGGTTGCTTATTGTCGATCAACAGACGATCGACTGCATATCCCTTTTACATTTACGCTTCTAGTTGAGGCCTTGTTAGTCGTGATTGCTTAACGTTTTGATTTACCTTCTGTTTTTTTTGTTTGGCCTTTGTTCTGGTTAATTAGCTGCTTCGCTGATCCTTTCGTCGTGCTGCACCTGCATGTGAACACCGACAATGAACACCAGCACTCGCACTGCAAATAAACACAAAGACAACCAGCACAGACCCAACCTACAAACAGATCTCAAAGCGGGATTTCACTGTAACAAGAGACCTAAAACCAACACACTAAGCCCACTAACCCTTGTAGATATCAATCACAGACATTAATGGAATCAGCTTGTTTCGGAATAATACCACGCATAGGTCTTTAAGTTAGAAACTAGAGGTTCCTCATGCATTCGGAAAGCACAATCCCTTTAGGCGGCAGCCACTTTTAGAACAGCCATTTTTCGATTGCACTTTCAGGAGTTGCCTAAAGATTCCAACAGATGTAGTTGTTAAAGCAAGCATATGACGTTCTTGATGAAAGGCTAACTAAATTCAACTAAATCACCCCTCTTTCAACTGAAATTGGCCGAGCACTAACCCAAGCACTTCGACTTTCAGGTCAGGACACCACACCCTAGGACGCCTTCCATCGCATCACCAACAGTCGGCGACGTATTTGCCAGGACCCAACAATGGAAAGTACGCGACGCTCAGCAAGCAGTGTAAGACGCTCGAGTCCAACGACTTCTACTGAGATTCGCTTGCCTGCAGTTCCCATGCAGGCAGTAGCAGCAACACAGCACAGCAGCAGCAGAACTTGCAGCTCCAGCAGCAGCAGCAGCAGAGCAGCCTCATCAATCAGAACCAAAGCCAGAGCACGCTGAAGAACATCTTTGCGTCGGCCACCTTGCCCCGCTCGACGGGCAGCTCCATCCGGTCGGTGCTCTCCGTTCAAACCTCCAATGCGGCAATTTGCCGCTCCACGGGCAACGGATTGGACGGCGACATGGTGGACGATCGCGATCCAAGGGATGTAACCAACAACAGCTTCAATCGTTTCGATCCCAAGTACATCAGCATTGGTCCCAAGGCGGTCAGGGGTCAGAATAACAATCTTAATATTATGTCCGTCGCCGGCAGTGCCAATAAGTGTGCCACTTTGCGACATGTGGGTCGCTATGGTGGCTCGCTCAAGGGTGTGTCCGCCGTCAATACCACGCCCTCGCCCGCCGCCGCCCCAGCTGTGCATTCGCCGAACTTGAGGAGCGCCAAGACGCCGTCGATAGCCACCGTTTCGAAGGATTATTGTCAGCAGCCGGACTGCATTCCTCAGGAGTTCCTTCTCCAGCAGCAACAACAGCTGCAGCAGCAGCAACAGCAGCAGCAGCAACAGCAACTGCAGCAGCAGCTACAGCAGCAACAGCTGCAACTCCAACAACAGCAGCAGCAACAGCAGCAGCAGCAGATGGTGCCCCCTGCTCCGCCGCAACCGGCGCCTCCGCCTCCACCCAAACCAAAGATAGTCAATACGTTTACGGAAATTCCCGGCACCACGGGCGTGGGCAGCTCGTATGCCAAGGAGCAGCAGCAACAGCAGCAACTGTTGGCCCTGCAGCAGCAGCAGCAACAGCAGCTGCTCGTCCTCCAGCAGCAGCGGGAGCGGGAGCTGCAGCAACAGCAGCAGCAGCAACAGCAGCAAAGAGAGTTGCATCCACCGACCACCCACATACTACCCCCCTCGGCTGTCTACAGCATCGAGAGCAGTGAGGTGTTGCCCACAGCCGCACCGCGTGCGCAACAGCGCTCGCTGAATCCCGCCTCCATTGTGAACCAACCGCTGCCCGAGATTCCCACCAATCAGCAACAGTCAAAGATCTCCGCTCAGCCGCTTTGCGCCGCCAGTTTGGGGCAGTACCGCTCGCTGCAGCGTCCTCAAACCCAGAAATTGCAGCCGGCTGCCGTCTCCTCGCCGCAGCAACCACCAACGCTGCCGCCCAAAAACCGGCACAAAAATAGCAACCGAGGTGTAGCCATCGACAGCAGCAATGCCAATCATATGCAGACCTTGCCGCCGAAGTCAGCCAGCCTAAGACAACAGCAGCAGCAGCAAGAGCGCGAAAGGGAGCGAGAACGCGAGCGGGAGCGGGAACGGGAACGTCCGAGGAGGGCGGAAACCTTGGACAATGCTCGCAGCTACATAGACCAACAGCAACAGTATCCCGGCCACCTGATAACCAGCAGCAACATGAAAAAGCAACACTCCTATGACAGCAGCTACCATCAGCAACAGCAGCAGCAGCAGCAACAACAGGCCTTTTATCAGAGGCAGCACAACAACAACTTCTCATCAAAGCAGCAGCAACAGTTAATGCTGGAGCAACAGCAGCAGCAGCAGCAACAGCAGCAACAGCAGCAGGCGTTGTTTTACAGATCCCTGAAACGGGGAGAACGCGTAGCTACTGGCGGCGGAGGAGTTACTGGAGTTACTGGAGGAGCAGCCATTAGCAACCAGAGCGATCTGTACTCGGTAACGGAGTTGTAGGAGTGCGCCTGCTGCGGCGGCGGTGTGGATGTGGTGCGCCGAGGCGCCTCATCCACATCGCTGCACGCGGCGGCGGCTACCCAAACTCAGACACACACCCAAAACCAGACGCAATCGCAGAACCAGGCGCCTGTTCCCCTGCCACCCAAGAAGCATCGCCAGCGGGAGAGGGAGCGAAACTTGGAGCGGGAACAGCCGGCTCCCTGCAATGCCAATCTGTGCGAGGAGCATGAGTACGATGAGTTCTACCCCCAGGCGTATGAAATGCATGCGGTTGTTGGAGGAACTAGCGGTCCCACGGGTGGCGGGGCAGCTACTGGCTCTGCTTCCAAGCACGGCAAGCAAGGTCAGCAAAGAGCAGCCACTTTCGATGTGGCCGATGCCAGGGACTACGAATTGAAGCGTCTGGGCAACCGGAGATCGCAGCAGCAGGCGGCTCCTAGCAAAAGAAACGGAGGAGCAGGCGCACCAGCTGTCAGCCAGGATCACCATCGCAGCCACGATCGCGAGCGGTCGCGCAGCGATCACCGCATTGCCAGCTATGCCTGCGAAGAGGTCAACTCCTCAGCGCTCTGCAGCGCCGGCTCCATGAGCTCCATGCTGCAGCCGGCCAATGGTACTGGTCACAGGAGCAGCAGTCACCAGCACCAGCGGGATCACCATTCGCGGGATCAGCAGCAGCAGCAACAGCAGCAGCAGCAACAACAGCGGGAGCGACGCGAGAAGACCTTTAAGGTATGATTTTTAGAGACGTCATAAGAATTGTCCAATCCGCGCCAGGACACCAGAAACGGCAGCTCCAGGCGGCGGACGCGTTGAGGGGTAAATGGAAAGCTAACGTGGCGGATTCTACAGCGATTACGAGAACGTGAACCCCCAGTCATCGAGAAAAGTTGCGCAAAAGGAGCGCGGCACCATTGTTGCACCACCATTGGCACCCGAAGATCCCAGCCTGTTTTTATGTTTAGCCTAAGTCGCGTCCTTACTCTATGTCTATCTCTTTCCATGTCCACCAGCGTCCTCTCCCTTTCACTTGCGTGCGAAAACGACTCACTCACACACACATGTATATATATAAATATATAAATATATATATATATATACACCCAGATTGTATTGTAAAAAACCGACCTCTTCTGATTGATTCAAGTTGTGAAAGCTGCTTGAAAGAGGCTGCTGCAGTGTCAAAGGCAGCGGTCGAAACAAAAGCGCATTATAGTCACTTCACTTATTATTTGTGAATTTTAAATTGTTTTATAGTGCAACATTTGGACAAGCAATATTTACACGCCCATTGCCAATGATAATTGCTTAGAATTCAGAGCCTTGCAGCTCTTTAGCTCTGTGACGCTATTGCCTTGACCGCTGCTGTGCTTACAGCCATGTACATCCAACCTACAAAAGTTCTCTGCCCTGTGTTGTTGCCTATTGTTATATAAATAGTAGAAAACTACGATTAACCGTAACGAATACTTTTTTGTGACCACTATTCATACGTGTATATTTTAAAAGCCTAAGTTAAGTGGAATTTAGTTTTAAGCGCAAAACTATTTATTTACGACAGTTTGTAAGCCTCGACCCCAAAAAAATGCCCAAAACGGTGGCAAAGCGAAGACACAGTCGGCGACAGATAACTAGGTGCTCCCGAAACGAGTTTTAAAACGAGTTTTCATTCGAATATACCCGAGAGTCTAAGTCCGTCTCTGTCTCGCTTTTTCGCTGTTTGAGGAACTTTTAGTTTTTAAATGGAGTGTGTGTTATTTTTAATTTATTATAACCTTTTTTTTTTTATAAGCGATTTATGCTGATTTTTTTTTGTTTGAGAATCCGTTGCGAGAACCAACAACAACAACCACAGCGACACGTACGTAAAATTTTTGTGACGTCAGAAATCTAAAAAACGAAAACCAAGTATGAAAGCCCAAAAGCTACACTGCACAAAAGAAAAGAACAAGAAGAAACGCAAACGAAAGAAATTTCACAAAATAAAACACAATATACATTAAAGGTTTAACATTTAAATCAAGCAAAAGACAACAAGAAAGGAAAAGTTCTTAACTCAAGCAATATAAAAAAAAAGATAACATAAAACGAAAAGAAGCCATACCAAGTTGTTCAACTATTTTAAAAAGGATTCAGCAAAGCAAAATAATAAACAAGCAAACATTTACACATAAAAATACATAAAATACCTACATGTTTATTATAGAGCAAGCATAAGGAATATAAATTAATCTACAACAACCACAAACAATGTTCAGGTCAATAACTGCATTTAAAAGGAGGAAACCCTTATTAGGCGTTAAATTAAACGAAATGCTCTTTTTATATACAACATATATAACATGCAAATATATATACATATATACATTAAACGAATTGCAAGTACCCAAAACACAGACAAACGATAACACAAAATAAAGGAACAACTCACCAAAGTTGTTGGCACAGCGGAAGACACACAAACATTTTATACAAAACTAACATAGTTATACCACACAAAATATAAGACACAGAACAGTTGTGGAAGAAATAATTGTAGTGCCATTAGAGATTGGAAAATTTAATAAAATTTTATTGTAATTATGCAAAGTATAATTTTAGTTATGTTTTACAAATGTATTTGAAGGGTTGTATGGTTTTATAAATATGTATTTGAAATAGCGTTTTCCAACCTCCATTTTAAATTAATAATGCAAGAAGAGTATACTTGATTTGATCGACCCTAGTTGATACCCTGCTTTATCCTGTGCTGATCAGTGCAGCAAGCAAGGCCACACTATTATTTTGACCACAGCTGGGCACACAAGCACACTGAAAACAAACAGCAAATTAGGGAAAATAAAGCAAGCAAACAGTAAAAACTCACATTTACTCTCTCTGCTGTGCAGATGCAAATAAAACAAGGCAAAATACCATTTCAACCATGTTGAAAAATTGCAGCACGCACACACAAAATCACAAAACACACTTTCCGATCCTCCGTCTCGTTCGCTCTTTAGCTCTGTCTATCTTGAAATCTCGCTCCGAACACTCCACCCACCACCACCCATTGTAGTTTGCACAAGAAGTATATGTATTAGCAAAAGTTAACACTCGACGGAAAAAGTTAGTTCAAGATATGTAAGAACACTCTAAGAAAACTGTTGCAAGTCCTGTTCTCCTGTTCTGTATATAAGTATACGTACGATCTACCCATTTCTATTAACTAAGTAGTATTTGCTGTGTGAATATATGTGTGTATGTGTGTGTGTGTGCGATGTTAGCCATTACATTTAAAGTGTTTTTTTGTTGTTTTTAATCCGAAAATCAAAAATGTTTCACTGTAGTGTAGTGTAGTTGATACTAAGCGATAAGGCCAAAATAGATTTTAAACCCAAAAGGAGACAAATGAATTATTAGGAATCAGTGGGAGAATACCAAACCAATAAATGCAGGAAGGCAGGCAGGCAGGCAGGTATTTACTTATAGCATTTAAAGTCTAAAGCAAACGAAAATTATTAAATAACATTAAATCAAACGCAATTAAACACGAAACGTGTGTAACACCGTAAAAAGCAAGCAAAGGAGTTTTCACGTTTTAGCCATTGAACAAGGGAAAACTAGCGCACTTTTTCGTACTTTAACTGACGCAAAAATCCATCTATTAAATGATATTAAAAGGAGTAGGGAGTAGACGGATAGCGAGCAAATACGATTATAAACGTAAATAGTAAACGAGAAAGTAAGACAAATTTTAGAGAAATCGGTTTTTACCTAAGGTTAAGGCAAGATGATACTTCCGGTTTTCCTCTTTTAACTGCCATTTCCGTTTCCCATTTCCAATTTCCCACATCCGATTTCCCGCCCACAAATCCCACAGCGAATCGCGCGAAGAGTTCCCGATCCTGTTGACACATTTCAGTGCATATTATATAATGCATCTATACATATATAAATAAATCCACTAATATACATATATATAAATACACAATTATTGTAATAACAATATAAGTCTGTAAATTTGTTAACATTTCTAAAAGCCAGCAAATGGGGCAAAACGGGGCAGGATTAATAAAATCGCGCCCACTTGTTTGTGCTACAATCACAAAGGGAAGTATCCAGATCCCAGATACGAGCAAAACACGCGACCCACTCAAAAATCATCCAAATGTGTGATTTCTATAGAGTGCCGAACGGCTTGAGATCGTTTAATGGGCGCAAATCGGGCGCGAAGTCGAAAAATTGTTGAGCAGCCGCTTTAAAATCAAAACGAAGCAAAGGAAACATTAAAGAAAAGAAAATGGAAAATAATTATATAACAGTTGTGAACAAATTATATTTACATAGCGTATGAATAAATTGCATAACAATTGATTAATATACAGAAAGTAACGGCCGTTTTATTTCAAAATGCAATCGAAAGTCGAATATCAAAGTCGCTGTTCAAATGCGATAAGTATCGATAGGCAGCCGAAAAAGTGTTGCCCATGCTTGCACGCAGCGTTAGGCATTTTCCTGCTGCCGCTGCCAAGCGTTAGTACATTTTGATGGAGGCGAAACTAAAATCAAAACAACATAAAATAATAAGTGTTTGAATGAACTATTCTCAAATGGCAGAAGTGGAATATGAAAGGGCCGAAAACTTGGGTTTGCCCCCACAACTCTATGATGAGGAACTGGACCTGAACCGAACCGGAGAACTGGACTCCGAGGCACTGCATCTGAGCAGCCAGCAACACCAAGGCGGTAAAATGAATCCCGGCACTTATGTGATTATAACTAGATATGCAATTACGTTTATACTACGAGCATACATACCCGTTCTTACCAGCTTCGCCTTCTCGCCCTCAGGATCTCCGTCCTTCATCTGCAGACGCTGTCCAGCGCTATTCCTGAGCAGGGAGGAGCTGGCCGCCCATCGTCCCACCCACAGACTCAAGAGTGGCCAGCGGAAGACCGCGTCGGAGCATGTCTGCGAGGCCTGCGGAAGGGTCTTCCAAAAGCACAACGCCCTTGTGGAGCACATGAATGCCCACAACAATGTGCGCAACTATCCGTGTCCAGAGTGTCCAGCGCGCTTTGTGCAGCGCAGCAATAGGGAGTGCCACCTGCGGAACGTCCATCGGAAGGTGTACCTGCACGCCTGTCCAGAACCGGAATGCGGAAAACGCTTTCAGCAGCGGCGGGAGCGGGATCAGCATGTGAAGACGGTCCACCAGAAGGAGCGAAATCTCGTTTGCGACACCTGCAGTGCCCGCTTTAGCCATCCCGTGAATTATAGGAAGCACTTGGCGTCCCATGGCTCCCAGAAGAGCTATGGCTGCCCGATTTGTGGCAAGCTCTTCGGACGGCCCGAAAACCGGGATGTCCATCTCTTCGTCCATAGTATTTGTAAGGCCTATGTATGCTCCGTCTGTGGAGCAGATTATATGCGCCGCAATCAGTTGATCCGCCATGGCTTGGCCAGTGGCCACCAAAACGATCCGATTGTCCGCCAAAAGCCCCAGTTTAGTCCCGCACTTGCTGCGAAGCATCGAAGCCAGAGAAGCGCTATTCTGGAGAACGTGGACGAGTCCCAGGGCGAGGAGCTCCAATGGCTGGAAGGGGAGGATGACTACGACAGGCCAGGATGCCTCGAGGCATCCTCCTCACAGGAGGAGCGGCTAACGGGGACCAGCAATATGACTGCCATCATCACAGAGGACGAAAACGAAAGGGAGTTATTCGATTGAATATCACCAATTTCGCTGCTTAGTCAACCTACTGTACTTACATACAGGTGTCTATGATCAGGTTAGTTCGAATTGAATATTTGGGCGTACGTAGTTTAAGCATATGGGTAAGAGTAAGGAAATACTGTAAAAACATCTATTTAGGCAGAGAAAATCCACGAATGCAATTGTAAATATGAAAACGTAAACATTAAGGCATAATAATTAGCGATATTTACGCTTAGACTATTACAATCAAATCTATGCTGCATTGCATATTGATTAGGCGCTTGTACTGAACTGAAAAGGTTGAAAACTGAATGATTGGATTTACGGCTTAGGCAGAAAACGCCATAAATTAATGATAACATGCAAAAATGATTACCGCATGCAAAACATGAAGCGGTGACGTCGGTCAAAAAATAACAAGAAAACAAAGAAATGAATGAAAAGTGAATGTCGCTGCTGCTCTTGCACTTTAATAAAAAATGTGAAATGAAATGAAATGTTGCTATCACCTGCCTCCCAATCCCCCGTCCCCAGAAAGCAAGCCCGTGGAGTGGGTTGGGAATTAACAAAAATCAGGGGTAAAGCCCATAAATAATCGCATCGCAACGGGGAAAACATAAAAGGGTAGGGAGGCGATTAACAACTGGTTACAGACATAACGACGAAATGAAATTATTTAACACCTTGTTCATGGCTCATTTTGCTGTTAATGTGCGAGCAAATTTGACCCACGCCAGCACCGCTCTCGATTCCACAGTTAATAGATCTATCATCAACCCGCCGTCCGGAATCCAATGCAGGTCTTCCCTCGCCCTCCTCTTCTGCCACTTCATTGTTCACCTGTCACATTTCCAGCCCTTTGTTAACTGTCATACGAAACTATCTAATTTATTGTTGTTGCTGGCCTTTCAATTGTTGTGGCTGACTGAACTTGTCGACACAGTTGAGCTTCCAAGAAAGAAAGAAAGAAGATTGCCCCCAGGGGCTTAAATCTTACATAAGGCGTGACCCTGCCCAAAAAATATCTGTGCTTCTTTGACTCCATTGGTGTGACCTCAGCAGGGGACGTGACACACAGATGGACCGGAACCTGCTCAAAAGGGCTTCCATACAGCCGCCAATGGGAAACCTTCTGTATATCAAACGATGTCAATTTTGATCTCTAATGATTTCCATTCAATGAAATAAAGAAAGAAACAAAGAAATAAATATTATATTACCCACCGAGGTGTCTGAAAAACTCAGTACAATGAATTCGAGCAAAGCTGGAAAACCATGGAAAACTATGCAGATGTGTGTCCACTTCCCCATGAGTGACTCTGTCCACTTCCGCACCGAATTAGTCACTCAAGTTCACCCCTGGACGTGGGTCAAGTCATCCAAGAGCCTTCGAGAGGAGGAGATCAGGTCCCCTGGCATGATCATGATCATGATCTCTAATCCGTTCCGACTCGGGGCGATCGGTGCCCATCAAGCTGTCATCCTTTCACTTTCGCTATCTTTGCGCTGCGTCTTGTGTACTTTGATGTAGGTCAGCGACTTAAGGATCAAATGCCCCACCGAACTGGTCGAACCGCAAAGATTGCGCAACGGAGATTGGAATGGAAAATGGGATGAAGTTAAAGTTATGATTAACATGGAAGCGGAGTGAGCGGCGGGCAGTGCGTTGACCATCCATCACGCGGTGGTGAATGGTGCAACTGGGGGATAAGCACGTGGAGTAAGCGGGTGGTATCCACTTGCTCGCATTTTGTGTCCACGTTGTGGCTCAAGAACCCTCCTTTCTATGCTATTCTAGCTCCAGTCTGATAAATAATCGTGAATATATATCTCGTAGATCCCCTATATTTCTTGCCCACTCCGATTATCCATCGCCTCAAGCGTTGGCCTGGGCAGCCCAAGCCCAACCGATTCCATGTCCATACTGGACTCATTGCCATGCCAGCGACGTTTTGGACGCTCCACTCCCAACGCTGCTCCTCCCACTCAACCCGTCCACTCTTTAGCTTGATATAGTTTCACGCATCAAATGCGAATCACAATTTTTAAGCGAAATCCGAAATCGAACCAATTTGTAATCACAAATCGGAGAGAAACTGCCAAAATCTGCGACGTGTGCGGCATTTCAATAGCCTGGAATCCATCCAGTTCGTAGGCAGAGCCTCCGTACATGATGAAAAAGTGGTTGAGAAAGTTCCATTTCGCTTTTATAATGAAAACATTTTCATTTGGCCTATTAAGTGCCTTAATTTTATTATAAAAATCATCTGGTCGTGCTGCATAGAACTTTCTACATAAATATATCTCACTTTCAGATACTTTTCCCCTCTCCTCATTGTCCAAACACTAAGTCTTCGATTATTTTTCGATTTTATTGTCAGATCTTGGCGTGCAGTACCAAATAGATAGGGATAAAAAAATACGTATGATGCTAGAGCTTAAGAACTAGTTTAATAATTTAGTGGTATCCATGGGAGGAGGCGGCCGTTGGGCCGTAGCTGCTGGCGGGAGGCAGGTAGGTCGCCTCCGGCTCAAAGATGGGCGTGGCCGAGTCGCCGGAGTGGCCGGGTGGTCCGTAGAGCTGCGCCGGAGCCTGGTAATCGTAGCCGGGCGAGGAAGGAGCCTGCAGGAACGTGGAGCTCGGCGTGGCGTAGTCGTAGCCGGAAATAGAATTCGATCCGGACTCGTGCTTGGCTCCCAGAAAGGCGCTGGGCCTGAAGGGCGCCTTGGAGACGTCTAGGTCGTGGCTAGGTGCGCCGGACTGAACGGAGTGGTGGGCAGAGCTGAGGACGTCGGTGTGGAGGGCCTGTGGCTTGCTGGCCGTGTAGCTGAAGTGGCCCAGTCCCTTGTGGCCCAGGGCATAAGCCGGTGTCTCCCGCTCCTGCTCCCGATCGTCCTTATGCTCCTGCTCAAGCACCTGCACTTGCACTGGCTCCGCCAGCGACTCCTGGTGATCATAGCCGGGTAGGAGTGGCACCCCGTAACTGCTCAGGGGCACTCCCTTTCCAAATGGCGTGGCGGGAGCATCGTAGGAGTACCCAGAATGCTCTTCCGCCGACTGCGGCAGCGGGTGCTGCGCAAACTGTCCGCCCGAAGAGTGACCCAATCCCAGGGCGTGGCTCAGACCGTGCTCCAAGGCATGCTCCAGGCTGTGATCCAGACTGTGGCTAGGTCCGTGACTGACTGCTTCATGGGAGATCTGATGGCTTGGGCCATGGCCAAAGCCGCTGCCATAGCCGTGGCTCTGTAGGTGGCCACCGAAGCTGGGTCTGTGAGCAACTGGTCCCGATCCGTAGCCAATTGCGTGTGTGCTGCCTCTGGCTCCATGACTGTGTCCGGAGTACTCGGGCGTAGCCACCACAAATGTGCTGGTCTTGTGTTCGTTCCCGAGGAGATTTAGGTAAGCTCCACTGGTGGATGGTGCGTACTTAAAGGCCAATCCAGATCCATGCCCGTGGCTTAGGCCGTGACTGATTCCATGACTGATCCCGTGACCGATTCCATGTGCCTGACCATGGTAATTGTGACCGGAACTCGAGCCACCACCTGTTTGCACGATATAGGTTTCGATTTTGGGAACTCCACTGCTGCTGTAATGATGGGGCCTTCCATGGCCACTGGAACTGGCGTAGCCGTGGCTCGCGGAGTGTCCGTGTGCGAAGTGGTGTCCGTAACTGCTCTCGCCCTTGAAGTGGCTGGGGTAATCGGAATAGCTAGCCGAACCCAAGGGGCTTCCATGGAAGCTGCCGAGATTCAGGTGACTCTCGTAGGCGGGCGGCAGATATTTGTGGGAAGGGCCGTGATAGCTGGATATTCCGCCGAAACTTAGGCCAGCATCTCTTTTTGGCTTGGCGGAGGACGATGCCGGAACCGAGGCTGGAGCGGCAGCGGAAGCGGGCACTGAAGAAGAAGCATCGGCAGCTGGAGAAGATGAGGCGGCTGCCAGCAAGAAGAAGCAGCAGCTTAGCAAGGCGCAAGCTAACGGTAGTTTCATGCTCAAAACAAAACAAAAATCACAGGAAAAAAAAAAGTGAACGGCTTAACGGTTATCCTTCGATCGTGTATGGTTATCCTTGTTCCCCACGTTGGATCCGCAGTATAGAACGAGACGCGACTCTATTCGCTGCCGTTGGCGTTATGTTGACGACCTCTGTGAGTGCCGACCCTTTTATACATTTTATAGAAGCCACTACAAACTGCAAGAAACTCGGTTTTTGCCTCTGCCTTTGCCTTTGCCTTTGCCTTTGCCTTTGCCCGTTTCGCTACTCTCTTGGCATTCTCTTTTCGTCGCTCTCACGCACCAGCACGCGAAAAACAACGGCATTTCTTGTGTGCCGCCGACGCCGACTGCGCTGCAGCCTTTTATTCACTTACTCTCAGTTTCGTTTGCGCACAGTGGGTCAAATACACCTGCGCATAAATATTCACTGGTGTGGTCTGGTGTACATCAGACTTGAACAAATAACTGGAAGACGGATATATATTAATTTGCCTTTGATGCAAAAAAAAAAAATACAAAAAAAGAACAAGGCATATTTATTGCTGAAGATGGAAATATACTAATATATATTCCGGCTCTAGTCAAAGCACACTTATAGTTTACTTTAAAAATACACTTTCAAATTTTCAGTACACACCCACTGTTCTCAATGTTCTAAAACTGTAACGGCATCCTTGCTCTCTCACGCTCTCTCATCAACTATTCCTCTTTCGGGCGACGATCGAAGCTCTCGCTTCGGTCAGTTTCATTTGAAATCGGCGTGCGCAACTTGAAATTTAAGGCTCCAGGAAAATGTGCCAGGAATAAAAGAATTTACTCAATTCGACGGTGTTAAACCAGGAATTTGTTCAATTTGTACAAGTTTTGGCTGCAATAGTGATAACTACGCATTTACAAGTCGTTTGCGACTAGCGAAATTTAACGGTTCTCTCGCGTCAGCTTAATTTGCATTCAGCTCAAATTTTGGTGCTCCCAAAAAGTGCGCCAAGGATTTCGGTATTCATTTCAGTCCAGGCATCGAAATTCATTCAGTCAAATTTGCAATTTGGCTGAAATATGCAAAACTGCGCATTTGCACCTTGTTCAAGGCTGGTGGAATATAACAGTTCTCGCCTCTGTTTCGCTTTCCCCCCCGCCCCGCGTTCCATTAAGCAGGTTGACGAAACGAAAGCCGTAAGAGGAGTGTGCGATTAGAACACCAGTGATGGCAAAATATCGATCGTTTGTGGAAAGAAAAGATCATCGTCTGTGGATCCTGAGTGAGTGCTTTTTGGATTAATATTTACAGTTTTTCATACATATGTACATACATATACACGATATACAGAGCAATGATGGTATTTTTGGCCTGTTTAATTTTTGAAGTTCAGTACCATTTTTTACCCACTGTGCCAGTGTTACCGACTTGACAGCGCCACTCAAGTTCAAGTGACACTTAGTAAAATCGCATGTCTGCATCACCACGCCCCTTGCCAACTTGTTATCTTGCCATTTGGGCCCCGTTGTACTCGTGTTTTCGTGTGTGTTACCTTTTCTCGCTGCCACCTCCTCAGCTGGCTCACTTACATTTCCCAAAAGCACCTTAGTTTGTGCGTAAATTGCATTTAATTTACAGCAACCCGCCTTTTTCTCTTCTGGCTTTCCTCCTTCCTCTTCTCGCGCCTGCCTTTTGCACCTTACTTCGCCTCGTAATTGTTGCTGTTTTCCCAGGTGCGCGATTTTTTTCGAAATTCGAAAAACGATTTGTTTTGCTACCGTTCGGGATCTTAATTTGGGTCTCTGCCGTGGATGATGATGATTTGGCAATAGTTTGAGGTCTGTTAGTGCCCCTTTGACCCCGACCCCGAGCCCGACTCCCCCCTCCTTCCCTTCGGCACTGGTTATCATGGCCCATGGCTACTAATGGACTTGGACCGAGACCTATGCGATATATCTGCATGCAGCCCACGACCATGGAAGATAAATGATGTGCACCTTGCTGGTCTCGCTTCTGTCGTCTGACGACCCTCAAGCGCAGTGGAGTTTAAGCCCGTACTTGTTGATATGAATACCTAAGAACCTTATTACAGATCGGACCAATTGCAATTTTCGAGTTTGGGATATTTCACACACTAAAAGTCCCGTGAATCCGCTCTTCATAGAACTCATTCGTTTGGTGTATGGTTTTAGTGCGAAAACATGTACAAGATAAACATATTTCTTGACTTTCGACTGGCAAACGCCGTGAGTGGCTGTTGGTGCTCCTCTGGACCCGTTTCTTTGGCCAACAGTCGTGTGCCACGGCAGAGGTTTAGTTGATGTAATTGCCCGCCAGCCGCTAAGACTCCGCCCTGCATGCAGTTGCGCAATCCGCTTGCCAAGGTCACACCTGCCACGTCGATCGAGTTATAATTTCACCGATTTGCGACTTGTGCGAGACGATTGTAATTGAGGCATTTGAAAGTGGCAACAAATTGCCAGATATACAAAGACTCAGCACGCCCATGGCAAAAGACGGCCGCCTTCAAAGACAACGGTCTCCCACAGTGGGCGAGTCATCACCGGCATTTCATTACCAAGACCCAAAGCTGCGTTTGAATTTGCCATGGGAAATGAACCTGGGGCTCGGACTTGGACTTGGGCTGGCCACCCCACAGAGAGTGGAAACATATTTGCTGAATGTCCACTTACAACTCCGCAAAATCGCATATGACTTTAGAGAGCCTGACTTTACTTCACGTTATAGTTTCTGGCTTATATCGTTAGAATTCATGCAAGCCTACAAGTATGATTGATATTTGGTATACAATCCCTTATGAACTAGCAAAAAAAAGTGATAATCATGTCTTTTGCTTGTAACCTAAGTTCTCACGAGATTATAGGCAGTACTGGGCGACAGGTAGACGTAGCCCCTTGGCTGCTCGGATCCCTCCGCCGCTGGTTTATTGTAGGCAAGGTCATGGTAGGGCGGTTCCTGCAGTTCCTGCTGGGCCGATTGCTCCTGTATAGCGTGTCCCTGCCCCTGGGCTGTATCCACATCTGCGTCATCCGAGTAACCGGCGAAGGGGGAGGGCCTGAAGGGCAGGCTAAAATGACCCGCCTGTGGAGGAGGAGCTGCCAATGGCTGGGCCTGCAGCTGAGGAGCGAATAAGCCCACCAGGACGGACGGCTGCTGGTATTGCTGCGGATATGCATGTTGGTATTGCTGTAGATGCTGCTGATATTGCTGCGTCTGTTGCTGATATTGTTGCGTGTGTTGTCGTTGATCCTGTGGAACTGGAGGAAAGGTCTGCGGACCCGTGTAGCCAGGACTAAGTTGAGCCAACGCCGCCAACGAAGGCAAAGGGCTAGCTGTGGGCAGGATCAAAGGACGCCAGGGCATCGAGAACAGCCACGGGGGACGGAGTTGTATTCTCGAAAGCTCCTGCTGGTGGGATGGCTGCTGCTGCTGTGCCCCAATCAATGCGAAACAGCTGATCAGGCTGACCACCAGGACGTCGAGGTGAATAAACCTGGACATGCTGCTCAATATGGTTGTCTGTTGCAAATGCTTGCAGTGGCCCCGAGGCCATGGGCATATATAAGAAGCCGCCCCAATGTCATTCGATATCTGTGGTTCCGCTGAAAGCGATACCCTCCACTTGCAACTCTTCCTCCTGGTTGCGCAATCTGGTATCCCGCCATCGAACCACCAATTGTCCAATTGTCCAATATCGAAACGCCCAGTTTGATTAAAACTCTGGTTATTATTAAACCTAATTCTGATTAAATGATCTTTTTGGCTTTTTGGCGCTTGCGAAACAATATTGCAATGTTGCAAGTTTGAAATTGCTTTCGCCGTCTTTTGTGGGATCAACAACCCGTGTAACTGAGCCGGGGACTTTTGGTCTTCGTCGCCCTTCGAATGCAAAATTTTCCACTTCACGAACTTCCCAGATTAGCTGCCGCCTGCACGGAAAAAACTGCTATAATATGGTAATATTCAACATGAATTTCTTTCATTTAGTAGGCATGTTCATGTTAATGTTTTTTTTTTTCTGTGCAGGCTGTTTTGCCGTGAGGAATACGACACTTGTTGTGTGGCATAAGATTTAATTGTGAAGTTCATTGGTGGCTCGGATAGTTGCAATATTGCGATAGCAATAATTCCGTATCCCCTACAGTATTCTGCCCGCATAAAGGTCTGCCTCTGGGTCTCAAATAGGTTTCTTTCGACTTCCGTGCAACAATTTGCCGACTGAAAATGAAAGTGACGCCGTGCCACAATCGCACACACCAGTTTGCCCTCAGCAATGGGCAGCTGTTGGTGCTGCTGGTGCTGTTCATCGATCGCCTTCGCACGACGCCAACATTTCAATTTCGATGACTCGACTTGATTGAAACCGAGTCATGAACATAACAAGTAGTGTGCCAAAAGGAGAGCACTGATGAATGCAATATTTACTCATTGCTGCTGGCTTCCTGCTGCAATGAAAGTTGCGCTGCTGCTGTTGCTGCCACAGGCGCATTTGTGTGGGTGTTTTGTGTTTGAGGTGCGGTCTCTGTTTCTGTTTATGTTTCTGTTTGTTTTACCTTCACTTGGTCGACGGAAGCAGCCCGAGAACACCGAATTCGAATCGTCTCTAATTTGGCGGCGCCCAATTCGCCACGGCTACATTAGCATAAACAAACAGCAGCTTAAGTGCGAGAAAATTACAAAAATTCTCGTAATTATCTGCGCAAATCGTAATCAAATTAGCCACGCTCGCTTTTGGCCACTTATGAAGGTCGTCTTTGTTTCGCGTTTGGGATGATATCCAAACAGTCAGTTTTTATCATCTAAACTACAAAAACCGTATATTAACCAATGCACTCTTTATTAAATATAAAAAAAAAACGTGACAATTATTTATCTGTACAATTGTTAATATACAAGTTTGGCCATTTCAGACCAAATGCTTTTCCGAAATGTTGAGATGAAGATGGTACGATCTTATGGCGGCGGATCCAAGTACCAGTTATGTTGCTTTAGGTTCGTTCAAGGCCTCTAGTAGTAAGGTGGTTGGAAGTCACGGCTAGGATGGGACAAGCTGTTCTTGGGCGGCTGAGAGGATACGGGGCTGTGCAGATACGAGGGGGACACTGCGTAGGCACTAGTCGAGTACTGACGATTGCCGGTGGCTGGCTGCTGTTTCTGCTCCTTGTCTTGGGTCCAATCCGCGTGAGTGCTAAACGTTGAGGGCAACTGATACGAGTGGGACTGCATTTGCAGGAAATCGGAGGGGGATTCACCAAGGGAAGGTCCGTGAGAACCACCATAGGCTGCGGATACGGGCTTGAGTTGTTGGTGCTGGCGCTGGTTTAAAGACGATGGTTCGGGGGGCGAGGCGAACAGCTGCTTGCGGTAGGCATCTGGCAGAGATTGGGTCAGCAGACGGGTGTCCATACTATCCAGTCCGATGAAGCGGTCGTGCTCAATATCGCTGGACAGCGTGTAACTGGGCACAAGCTTTACATCGCGTCCAGGAGCGGCAACCGTCTTGTGGCTGGTGGCGTGCGCCTCTGCCGAAGGAAGCTTCTCCAGGTCCAGTTCGCGAATAGGTTGCCAAAGGTCTTCCCGCAGTGGTAGCTGTTGCTCAAAGCGATTGTGCTGCTGCTGCGGACGGAACTGTTCATGCTGCTGCTGCTGTTGGAAACCATGCGAAGATTGCAAAGATTGCGTAGATTGCCAAGGTTCGTGTTCTTGGGACTGCTGCTCTGGAACCGAGTCCCAAAGCTCCTTCCTCTGCTGATGCAGCTTGTTGCCCTGAATTGAGTGATGCTGCTGCTGGAAATGAGCTGGTTCGTAGGCGGGTTCGGCTAAGTGTTGGGACTGAAGATGTGGCAGCTGGTTGGGGTTCTGTTGATAGTGGTGCTGCCCGTAACTTTGCTGTTGGTTTGATCCCTGATGTTGCTGGTGGTTTAATCCATGATGTTGCTGTTGGTTTAATCCATGATTTTGCTGTTGGTTGAATCCATGATGTTGCTGTTGGTTTAATCCATGATTTTGCAGTTGGTTGAATCCCTGATGTTGCTGTTGGTTGAATCCATGATTTTGCTGTTGGTTGAATCCATGATTTTGCTGTTGGTTGAATCCCTGACTTTGCTGGTGGTTAAATCCCTGATATTGCTGGTATTCAGGTCCTTCATTGTAGGCGTTCTGAGGATTTTGCTGGCTTCCAAAGCTCTGGTGTTGCTGCTGGCCAAGAGCCGATTGCCAGGAGTCAAGCTCCTTCTGCTGATGGTCGTACTCCTGCGTTCCCTGAGCATGATGCTGCTGTGCTGGGTAATGCTGTGAGTTGTAGGGATCACTGGATCCCTGCTGACCCTGTTTGCGACTCGAATCCAAGTGGCTGCCATGCGAGCTCGACTCCTCCGATGGCAGATATTTGTGGGCGGGTCCGTTGTAGCGGTAGCCGTTCCGGTTGTTATTGTGCAATGGCTGGGGACCGACCACGACGGCCTGGATACAGGCAACACCCAAGAGGGCGAAGAGCAAGAGGATCTGCCAAGACAAGCGATTAATACAGGACCTGCGATACCCGACTCTGCATGCACCCGACTCACCTTTACGGCTTTGAGCTTCATCTATGCGGCTGATTTGGGGGCTTGAACGCTGAGTGCGCAATGACTAGGTATGGCCAGTGAAAATACTTTTTATACCCACCATCGGTCGTCGCTGAACCACTATATGATCTTGAATACAATCTGTGCGTGAGTGGGTGCTGAATTTGCGCCACAAAAAAATAGAGACAATGTGGCCGCTGGGCTGGCGATTAATCGTCAAAATCTCACGTAATCACACATTTGACACTCTTTTCTGCCATTTACACCAGATTCTTATCCGAACAATTTGTGTTCCTATATAAAACTAAAACGTAGATGTGGCGAATGTACTTACTTTGGAAAAGAGTTACATTGCAGAAGCGGCACTTTTACTGTGACTTACCCAATCCGAGGCTGAATCTCTGGATGTTTCAATCAGTTTATTGGGGGTTGTGGGCGGCTGCCTTATAATTGTTCGCTAAATTTATTAATTACATCACACGCACACACTCAAACACACTCGCACCCACACATCGAGGCAAAGAAATTGGCGACTCAAAATCAAAACTGAAAAAGTCCGATCAACAGAGGCGGCACTTGCATTTTCCAAGCCGTGCGAATTATGGACAGATATGAAAAATCATTTTGATCAATGTCAATTGATCTAAGATGTTGATAGGTAGTGGCTTTAATTTTAAATTATTTAATTAATTTGTTTATTGGCGTAATTTGTTATCGTTTGTTTTAGTTGGCTACCCTTTCAGCAGTGGGGCCATACAATAAATAGTCGTACTTACACTTAGATTCTAAAAAAAAAAGACAATAGCATATACAATGAAGCATGCACGAAATTCTGGCATAAAATAAGCTATGAGGGTGGTGGAGTTTTGCGGCTTACTCGATTAATCGAGGGGAGGGGGAAGGGGATTACTATTTGGGCGGTGGCCTCAAAGCCAAACTGGCTTCCAAGTCCTTAACCTCCGATGACCGCAGTTGCTTCTTAATCGCCTCTTGCCTGGGATGAACGCCTCCCCCCCGTTTTCCGCGCTTTCCACCTCCTGCTGCCGTGCCGCCGCCTATTCCAGCCACGCCCCCCGACCCGCCGCCGCCCCCTGGCTGACCTCTGACCTTGTATGTGTGCTGATAGCCGTAGCCCTCGGGATTGTTGTTGTACTTCGGACTGTAGCTGTCGTACTCGAGACTCGGATGCTTGTTGCTGTTGCTGCTGCTGTGCGAGTGGGCGTGGCCGTGGGCGTGGGCGTGCTGGTGGGCGTGGCCGTGTGTGTGGGACAACCAGGGGTCATGATCATCCAGTAGGGTTTCCTTCTTGAGCACATATCGATAGGGATAGCCCTCTTCGTTGAGGACTAGCTTTGATTCATTCTCCAGCTCTGCTTCCGGCTCGGCAAAGTAACCGGATGAGGAGTAGCCCTTGTAATCCGGATGCAGTTCCCCAGATGATCCGGAAGCCTTGAGCTTGTGGCGATATTCCTGCAGTGCTGCCTCCTTACTCTTGTAGGGCAACGCATTGATGTCGTGATAGATTTCCGAATTGAAATACAACTTGTGCGGCTTGCCAGAGTTGGTAAGCCTTTCCTGGTCTTCCCGGGAATCACGCTCCCTCTCCCTCTCCCTTTCTCTCTCCCTTTCCCTCTCCCGTTCCCGCTCCCGTTCCACTCGATCTGGAGTGGGAACTACGTGGGATAGATCGAATTCTTCGATGTTCTTCAGGGCCGCACCGTGGTCAAAGTGCTCAGCACTTTTCAGAGGCAAAGTGTAGGGCTTCGAAACAGTCTTCACCGTTGCTGTTTGCAGTGGAGCTCTGGTCTTGATCTTGTAAATGAACTCCACGTTTGGACTTAGTTCGTCGACGGGCAAATCGGGGGCCTGGTATGCCGTTTCCGTTTCGGACTGAAAGTGCTGAATGGGCTTCGAGTTCGTTATTGCCAGTGAAGAGCCCCGCAGTTTTCCGGCTATTTGGTGGCTGTGGTGCTGTGGATGGAGCACCTGTTGCTGGTGGTGGTGGTGGTGCACTTGCTGTTGCTGCTGCTGTTGTTGTTGTTGTTGTTGTTTCGTCGTCGGAGGTGCCGTATACTTGGGCCTCACTGTACTGCTGCTGTAGCGCTTCTCCTCTGAGTGCGAGTGCGAGTGCGACGAGGGAAGGGAACCGGAATGGATACCAGATGAGAGCGTCTGCGACTTGTAGTAGGTCTTGGTGATCGGTGGAGGCGGCGGTGGTGGTGGGGGCGTGGCCGGCTCTTGGGGCGTACTTATGATTTTACCTTCGGCCTCTAGTTCCTTCATGTACTTGATCACGGACTTTTCAATCTGCTTCATAATCTCCGACTTCGGAATTTCCGTAGACGCAGAGACCCTGACTTTTTCCTCGGCCTCGGCCTCGAGATTTCTGTAAATCTGCGGCGGTTGATAGGGGGCGTAGTTGTTGTTGTAGTTATTGCTGCTGTACTTGGGACGATAGTGGCGTTCGATGTCTTGCTCCTCGCCCTGGACATGGGACTCGGCTTCGGTCGAGTGGTCGTAGAGCTCATAGCTCCGGGTCACGGGCTCCTTTTCGTAGACTGGCGCAGGTACCAATGCGGGCGACGCAGGGGAGGAGGGCGAGGACGACGATCCAGCGGAGGATGGCGACGAGGGTCCGGCGGACAGGATCAGGGCCTGCTGTTGCAGTTCCTTCTGCAATTGCATCTCCAGGATCTCCCTATCCCTTCGCTGTTCCTGGTAACTCCGCTGGGTGGAGGGTTGCTGATCCTTTTGCGCCTGGATGTGGTTTATGTTAGGGTTGTGATTTTGGTTTTGACTCTTCAGCTGAATCGGTGGCTGTTTGTAGGCCAACTTGATGGCATTCGCCACATACTCGGCTGCCGATTGAGAATCCTCTAGGTTGACAGATGCTCCGGATGATGCGGATCCGGGTCCGGATGCTGCGGTCGTGGTGCTCAGGATGAGCTTTGGACGCGATTCCTGCTCCGGGCGAACGAGATTTAATTCCACCTGACCAAAGCTGTAATCTGAAAAGTATGCAATGTATGTCGATTGCGGATTATTGCACACCTTTAGGCTCCTACAAAATGTTTGCCAATCAAACTACGGCGTTTTCTTACCTTTGCTGGGCGCCTCCTTTGGTCTGCCATGCATCACTGATCCCCGCCTGGAGTAGCCACGATCGTCGGAGCCCCTACGACTAGCTGCCAGAGCCAGTTGATCGGGAAACGCCTTCTCCCCGGTGTCCTCCAAAGAGGACACTGCTCCTGAACCTCCCGAACGACGGCGACTGTTGCCCGATGTGCCCGAGGTCACTGTTACGGCACTGCAAAGCGTCGACATCTGTTGGGAGAAAGAAGTGCAATCACAGCTTATTGAAATGTACACAATCAATTAATGTGTGAAAAGATAAGCCAAAGGTAGAACCTTGGCCAACTGAAGAGTGTGCCATTTCAGCGGGTGCTAGTTGTGCGCCCTGCCTCAACTTGGCCTCTTCGTAGCCATCGGACCCATTTGCTTGTGCCTACTTTGCAATTAAACTAATTAAACTCTGCGCATTCGCTTTCGCTTTCAAGGAGGAGAAGAGAAAGAAATGGAGAAGGAGGAGGCGGTTGATAGTCATTTTCTGTATGATTGGGTTGACGGCGCTCAGTTGGCCAAGTTCAATGGACCGTTTGCCAGTGGAGAGGGCAATGACACACCGGCATGGAAAACTTGCAGCACGCAATTGCGAATCGCAAAATGGATCCTGTTCGAGCGGAATGGGAAAAGAATTGTGGGCTTATGCATTGAAAACGTAATTCTAATGGGAGGAATTCAAGCCAGCAACATTGGACATCTTTTTCCAAACAGGCTCATCTTTTTGGTACTTGTTTCAAAAATATGCTCTTTTGTTCCGAAATTTAATTTTATCGGGCTTAGCTAAGCAGTTCATTCGAAAAGCTAGTTGCCGACCAATTTTCTCCTAAAAAAATGTTCAGTTGATCATATTTATCACACTTCTTCACTGAGTTGTTAAATAAAAAACCATCTTAATAGGTTTTCTGCACTACGTATAGTTTATCATCATTGTTATATCATCCATGGTATGGATGGTTTTTGAATTGGGCACTTCACTTTGGATCACTATCCACCAAAAAAAAAGGGGTACTCCTCGTTAATCAAGGGATCCGCATCCTTGGGCGTGGGTGCACTACTTACGATGATCAGCAGACAGAGGCACCATTGCCGTCGGCTGAGAATGTTTGCTCCCATGCGGACGAGGTGGCTCGCGCGGATTGGGTGGACCTGGTGGTGCTCCTGATACTGCTCCTGATACTGGGGATGACGGAATCGAGATGCTGGCGCTGACATCATGGCGCGCCGGAGTCTCAGCTGGGATTGTTAGCGGCCAGCTGGCGAGGCGAGGCTTTTATAATGATGCGGACCGCTGCAGCGGAAAATTTATGCGAATGTGCGCGCCAAAGAAAAGCGAGAAAAGTGCAAGTGCAGTAGAGAGAGAAAGAGAGAGATGAAGACAGAGAAGGGGAGAAAGATCGCTTCACTTTCGATGACAATTCGAATCGTAATAAGCCATCGACGCACAACACGGCGTATGCGTGATAAGTTCGCCCATTATAAGCCGATAAGGTGCAATAGAGAAGGCGATAGGCCAGCACGAAAGAGAGAGGACAACGGGACAACTGGTTTATAGTTTTTAGTTTCTTGGCTTCAGTTTCGGCCTCTGTTTCAGCTGCCACTTTGATGGCCAATTAAGCCATAAGCTAAGCCAAACAATCCCCATACCACAGCCAGTTCAATGAAATGTTTGCCGGCACAGGAGGGGTAATACCCGTAATTGACTTGTAAAATCCTCGCCACCGAAGGCATTTATTGGGTTAAACGACAAATGCTGGACGACGTTAAGCAGTGACTAACCCACTCAACGTGGAGTCCGGAAAGCAGCAGGACCAGCCACTAGGAATGCAAAAGAGTCTTGCAAGTCCAATGACTTTGCAGAAAAAAATTGAAATTTCCAACGCACTTTGCAGGGAACATCTTCTCTTTAAACCTTTCGGCATGGCATCAATATTGTAAGTTTTTGACTTAATGTTTGACACCAAAGACGGCTTATTTGATGTATTCTTGAATATACCTATTTGCTGCATTCTCGCAGTGTTTGCATTGCGGCCAGTTGGTGGTTGATCGTGGCAGCTCTTCACTCGGTGGTTGGCTTCATGGTCACTGATTCAGTGCATAATAATTAACAAGGAGCCCAGACAAACGGAGAAAAAGTGTTGGCTGATTTATGATGATTTTACGAAGAGCAGCAGCGTTCGCAGTTGCCGAAAACCAATGAAAACCAATGAAAGGGATCCGGACTTGGAGAACTGGGAGTACCTCTTGGAATAACTTGCCAATTGGCATTTCGCTGATTTCCCTTACGTGCTATCAACTATGGCTGCCGCACAGGGCGTATGATTTATATTTTAATATTCTGCATGAGAAGCGAAAAACGAAACTGAAAATGAAACAATTGCCACACTTAACACTAACGATAATAGCCATAATAACAAAAGCGAAACAACTTTGCAGCGGCTAAAGCAAAGCAAAACAAAGCTGGCAAAGCGTTTCGGCTCCTCCACATTTGTGAAGATCAACAACCTTGTCAGCAGTCGAGTGCGATTGCCATAGGTACGTAGATATTGCAATGGCTATCCATGCCCCGTTGTGCGGCCAAAAGCTGCAAAAACTACCAAATCCACTGCCAGCTACCAAAGAAACAGCTGTGGCAGCCGCGCCAGATGAACAGTAGTCTCAGTTGCTATTTTGTTGCCCAGCATTGGGTTTTTAAGTGTTAGAATGCAATTTCACATATATTTCTCCAAATGTTTGTTCAATACAGGTTTTAACTGTGGCTTTTCTTCAAAAAGGTATTTCCACGTTAGACATCTTCGTATTCTGATCAGCATTTACTTATTTCCTAAAGTTTCTTGTTGCTTTTGCTGCACTGTGGCAGCTGCAACGCTTCGACAATGCTGAAAAATTTTATGTTTGTGGATCGGATAGCTCAGATCTTTCATCTCCCCCTTGCCACAGATTGTAAAGCTATTAGTTTGTTGCCGGAGCTGGTGTTTTGTAGGTCCATTTTCTTGGCGATCGTTTAGATCCGAAAGCATAAAGCTTGTATGTATGTAAATAACCTATTCTGGTCAGTGAGATCGCAAATGACTTTATGCCAGAAACCTATTTTAGCCAGACTTAATCTAGTGCTCCAGTGATCTAATGTAATGTGCTGCAATTTGCCGCCCCAAACTTTCACATGGCAGTCTCTTCCTTTTTGCCACATCCATGTGGCCACATGGCTGTTTACGTAAAGACCCGAGATACTACGACCAAACAATTAGCATAATCAGCTGCCGCAATGGCTGGTAACTGGTAAATTGTGCCAATTTCTATAATTTTGAAATGCGGCAGCGCCTGTCGACTTTCCACTCAAATTAAAAAGCGGTCGGCAGCTTCCGCACTCTGGCAGATTCCCATTCCCACTCCCATTTCCATTCGCCACTCGCATTTGCATTCCCACTGCCGTTTGATCCTCCAATCGGGATGGTGATCTCTACGCTGTCCGATTTTTGCAGCCCGGCCCAATATCATTTTGCAGGGGAATCGCGAAGAGCTCCGTCGATCGCATTGTTTTGAGCCTCTGGGAATGCCTCCGAAGTTGCTCTCAAAGTAAGGTCATTCAGGGAATCGGTCTCTTCCCTGTCCGGAATCTCATCAAACATCCAGTACTTCCCTTTCGGCATGCAGAAAAAGTGAAAACCACCTGTTTAAAGATCTGAACTAAACGATTGCTACGCCCCAACAATGGACCCATAAAACGCCAGCTCTGCCAGAAACCACTTCACAACAAACTTGTAAGAGAGGTCTGCCAGCAGTCCGATGCACAAACGTATCATATTCCATTACAGCTGCCACATATATACTTTTTTGTAAACGAGGAGCTTGTTTATGAACTATCAAGTAAATAATTATAGTTTCCGATACAGATGAAACCACATACCTAGAGTTCTTTCCATGTTAAATATCTGTTGGGGAAACTATTCGTCCGGGATTTTCCCCGACACATGAGTTTTTTCCAGTTGCGTGCCTGCTATCAATTCGGTGTATTAAATTTGCCAAAAATTTGCAGTAACACTCATGGCAAAATCATTCAGCTCTTAGCACTTCAGTTACGCGGGTTTTGATGATATTTTTATGGTTTTCCTGCGTGACTTCCGTGAGTTGGCCAAATACCCGAATAAAATAAAACCACTGAGCTATTTGGCTTTCAAATTAATTTCTTTTCGGTTTAATCATACAAAAATACAAGTACATACAGGTAAATCAAGAAGCACATTAAGACTAAATATTGCACACATGATCAGCAGCACATTTTCTTGGTTAACGATATAAACAACATAAAAAAAACGTCGTACAAAATAATGAAAAGCGAATGTGTCCCGGCAGCACCTCTTCACTTAAAAAAGTAAAAGTATGCCTATCTTTAGGCGCACTCTTTTTGCGGCCAAAAGTATGCCTTGGCTGTGTAGCTTAGGGATTCCGGGTTGCGGGTAGGTGTTAGATGAGATTTGGAGCTAGAGGATCACCCCGGGATCTTTCTGCTCCTCTAGCTTGGAATAAATACTAATGAGCGGATATCAGGCACGAGAAGCAATTGTGTTAACATACGAGTATACGTGGGGATGGCACTCACTGGAATTTTACTGTCTTGCTGGACTTCATGCCCATACCCTTAAAAGTTAGCAGTACATCACTACTTTGAACAGCTGCAATCAGCAGAAGTTTTGGAAATGAGCGCGAAGGATGTCTCCGGATGTTGGAATTTGATTTAAAGATGGCTTGGATATAGAGACACATTTGAATCGATTTGAAATACAGCGACAGTGCGTTCTTCCAAGTGAGTTTCCATGCCCCCAAGTGGACGTGTATCCAGACATCAGCCCTCGAGCCGCTGTGTCGTCTTGTACTCCACAGCCGAGCCCATTTCAGCGCCCAGTTTCTCCCTCACATACTCCCTGATCTGCTGGAGTCCCTTGTCGCCCGAACTGGGCCCCACGTCCCCATCCGCAGGTTCCGGCTTAGCCGCCCTCTTGCCCTGGCGCATCTTGATCGCATGGGCGTGGTAGTTGAAGGGGCGTTCCTCCGACTGCTGCTGCTGCTCCTCGATGCTGGACTGCTGTAGTTGCTGATGATGCTGCTGCTGCTGCTGCTGCTGGTAGGGATAGGGATTGAAAATGACCTTGGTGTGCGTGGGTCGTGGGTTGTTTTCCGTTATGGGCAGACTGTGCTCCGCTTCCGGTTCCTGTTCGGAAGCACCTGAGGGACCTGTCGGCGCGTCAGACTCTGGGACGTAAATTGGCTGCTGCTGCTGATGATGATGATGATGGTGGTGCTGGTGCTGCTGTGGCTGCGGCTCCGGATCCGGCTCCGGCTGGGCCATTGCTATCAGATAGAGCTGAGGTTGCTGCTGCAAGTGGGATTGCGGCTGTGCATAGTAGAACTGTGTGGGCTGCTGGTAGTCCATGGGCGCGTAGTATTGTTGCGGCTCGTACTGTTGCTGCTGCAGCTGCAGCTGTTGCTGGTGGCGACCCTTGTAGCTTTGGTAGACATCATCGATGGGTGCATACTGCACAGGAGCCGGCGTGGGCGCTAGTTGGTGGGCGTAGCTCACTTCCTGGTGGTAGGTGGCCGGTTCTGGTGGCCCATATTGCTGCGCAGGATCCACATGTTGCTGCTGCTGTTGTTGTTGCTGCTGATCTGCCTCCTGCAGCAAGCTGAGGTACTGGGCCGCTCTGATCTCTAGATACTGCTGGAGCAGGGTCTGCAAATGGGCGGCGTACTTGGCGGGTCCGGGAATTCGCAGGACAATGACAGGCTCCTGATACTCCCCGTGGCCACTGGCCACACCTGCACCACTAGGACCTTCCGCTTCATCCTGGGGCAGATCGATCTGCGGCTGCTCGGGGACAGTGTGCTGCGGTTGGGTTTCATAGCTGGTCTGGGGCTTAAGCTCGTAGGAGTACGAGGGCTCGATGGTCACGCTGGTCACTTGCTCGTGATTGTGGTGTTGGTGCATGGCCGGCTGGTGTGGCTCCTCCTGCTCCTCTGGAAGCGGCTGGGGAAGGGAAAAGCCCGAGGGAATATCATGCTGTGAGTACGGATAGAACATGAACTTCGGCGGCGTGTAATCGTAACCAGGATGCGAGTAGCCGTATCTGTTTGGATGCAGAAGTTGAATGGGTTACTATACATTTGGGTAATCTTGTCATTTATGGTCTCACCCCAAATCGCCCTCAATGGTCCTCTTGCTGTTCTTGCCACCGCTGCTCGTGGAATTATCCCTCTCCACCTTAATCTTGATCTTGTCTCCATGCAGCTTGAACTGCTTGTCCAGCTCCTTAATGAATTCCAGGTCATCAGCCGGCAGATTGCCAAATGTCTCGGTTAAGGCCGGTGCTTTGGTGGTGCTTTTGGTGGTTGCCGATGTGCCGATCTTCACGCGTGGCTTACTGGGCTTCAAAGTGGTTGCTCTGCTGATGGAAATTGGCACTGTCGTTGGCGTTTTTGTTGGTCGCTTCTTCAGGGTGGTAACCTTTTTGGGAAATCCATTGCCCTTTGAACCACTCGCCTCTGACTGGCTCAAACCGCTGGCCAAACACAATATAGCACTCAGAGTGCCCTGTAAAACATGGACAGCCAGACAAGAAATGTAAATCAATTGGCAATTTTAATTGATGAAAGGAGTTGCTTTTTAATGCTACATAAGCTTCAGCTCCCAGTTTGCAAATTAAAATTAACTGGAAGTAACAAGAACTGTTTCTTCAACAATTTGTAACTATTAAAATGTTCCAACATTAAAAAGCCATTAGGTTCATTGATGGAATAAACTCATCTTTGATGGGGAAAATCTTCGGCGTTGTATTGGCCCAATCTTGGTTCGGGCTCAAGGTAAGAGGCGAAGACAATAAGGGGAGACAAAGGGGGAGTTGGAGACAAAAGCTGTGGGCCATCTACTCGTGGTGTTGTTCGATTTCGCTCTCAATATCAATCGTTAAACCAATCGGTGCACAACACACGCTGAGACCAGGTTTCACATTTGACATTTTATCAAGCGAATTGGTGTTGTAATTGAATCTCGTTGTTTTTGAGTTCGTGTCTGAAGTCTTGATTTTAGCTCTTGTTCGCAGTTCGTGCCTCTAGTCATTTGATTCGCAAATGGTGGTAGATACACTAATGATTCGATTTGCATCGATCAAATGACGATTAGCTGGGTGACGACTATAGGTGACGGTCGATAACTGTTGTTGATACATGCGAATTATGGGTTATTAGCTTGAAAATATCTTCTTAATCCAGCTTAGGCTAGGTAATTAATGTTTAATTTCCGATTCGATTCGAAAGAGCCCTGCAAGTAGCAAAATAATTTGCTGTGTAACATTACAGCAAACTGCCTTTGCATGCCATAATTGAAGCATGTCCTACCCCACTTGTCCATGTCCAGCGGTAAATTCGTATTTCATTTGGTTAGTTAAGTTTTAATTGCACTTTGTGACTCGAATATCCAGTGTGTGTGAGTGTGTGTTACCCGAAACTAGGACAGTGTGTCAAGTCATTTTAATAGTCGTTGTCGTCTCTTTGCTGCTGGTTGCTTATGCAGCAGTTGTTATTTAGCCGTTAAGCAGGAAGAGTTTTTCGGCACACTTGCCACAAGACAGCCGCAACAGCGAATAGTTGCGAATTTTTGTCAAACCTTCGCATGAGCTGTGGGAGCTGTGGGACCCGAAGAGCGGACAGCTTTTATGTAAGCTCTAGCTCTCATACAGAAGGAGCAGAGCGGCAACTAGTTAGATCTGTCTTTCGCATTGATTTATCTTTACCAATTATTTTCTGTAATAATTTAATTGAATTGCATCGGGCCTCGAAGTCGCCTTTCACTTGGCGCACAAAGAATCGAGTTGGTGGGCGATTTATGCGGCAGAGATGAGATTCCCATTCCCGCATTACAAATTACGAGCTACAAACAACACAGGCAACAGCAACTCGGGGCAAACGATCGTCACGCAACGCGTGCAAATTAGTCGGATTTGGATTTTTGCCCAGTTTGTGTGGTGTGTTGGTTATTGTTTCACTTTCGTTGTTGCATCATCCGCAGCAGCAGCAGCAGCAGCACACAGCTGCTGCAACATCAAAGCCAAGCACAACAATAAAATGTAAATTAGACGTCTACAGATTATCCTGCCAGTGGCTGAAAGGCGCCTTCTTCCCCTTCGGGAGGGGCGTAATAACTTTATGTAACCACACGAGTGGCGACTTAGGAAAACGAGTTCTGCTTGCGCCGCTTGAGTCTTCCCAGCACTGAGAGGGAAAAGACTATATCCAACAATGTAGATAGAGTAGCAATATGTAAGAATGGTAATAAAATAGTTAGGCTTTCCGTTCGAACTTCTTAGTTGACATATTTGAACAATACCCTAATAAATTAATATCCTATAAATTAAATACCGCCACATACAGGTACCCATTACGTTCTTCGCCATCTGTTGATAATTTCCATTAATTACTTATCAATACTTATTGATCTAAGTAACTTGTTAAATCCTCAAAAATTTGAAACGCTCTCTGATGACGAATTTGCTTACTTAATAATAGGTCTTAAAATAATAAGGTCTCTAAAATAATTATTATTGAGTTAATAGAATTATAATTATAGGTCTATCGAACAAAGCCAGAGCTAGTCAGCTAGATTCAACGTGCCGACGATTTAGCACCCCTTTTTTCGCTCTGTGTGCACATTTGCGTAAACGGATTTCTGCTGACCACTTGACCAATCGCCTGTGATTCTTCCGTTTAAGCAGCCAATTAGTGGACGACTATCGCAACCATCGTGCTGTTTGGTAGATGGAACTGGACACGGACTGGCAAAGTGGACAAGGGCAGTGTCAGACAGCCGAGTGGCCGAAGGGCAGTAGTCAGTGGAGCGAGTGAAGAGGTCAAGATGTTCGAGATATGGCAGCTAGCGGGAGTTGGGAGTTCATTGCATCGTACACCTGGCTGAGTTGGTTGAACTGTAACCACTTTCTAAGCCGGCTTGGCTGGCTACCACTGCACCACTTGAATGCAAATTAATTTGTCAGCCGACGACTAGTTTTTATCCCGCACAAATTGCACAATTCGATTGGTGGGTGGGTCTAGTTTCCTGGTTTTCCGAAGGAGATTGTATAATCTTACTCCTACTCTTACCAATATTAACGCTAATCTCATGGCGATTCCAGGTAACAATGCGCATTCACAGCAACTTTTCACAAAATCCGATTTTTCTGTTATATATTATATGCACTTTTCAATATATTTGAGTCTTTCAGAACCACAAAAAAAAAGTAGCAAGGGTACACGACCGGGTTCGTTGGGTTAGAGGGTCTAGTTTGGTTTCGGTTTCAGTTTCAGATTCAGATTCAGATTCGGAGTCGGAATCGAAGCGGTGCTAGCGTTCAAAAGTCGCGCCTCTTACTGCGGATGGCGCTGGCGATGCTCGCGGTTTTTATATCACAACCACAGCATAACAACTCGGTCTTCGGGTTGCATCAAGCTGGAATATCGGCTTCGGAGTTGGAGTTGAAGTTGGATTTTTGAAGCTGAAGCCAAAGCCAAAGGCGAAGGCGGATTGTGGACCGTGGACCGTGGACGGTGGACCGTGCATCGGGGATCGGGAAAAGAAGAGCGAAGTTCATCATTAATGACACCGCACGTCTCTGTGTGTGACTGAAGGTGTAGGTTGCCTGGGATTGCCCCAACAGCAAACAAAGTGCTGGAGTACTTTAGATGCTGGTCAGATACAGAGAGATAAAATGCAGAGAAAAAGCGTTACGAGGCATAGACATAAGGCAGATGATGTTACAGATGAGAAAGCGGCTCTTTACGTGCACTTTTATTCATTGAATATTTTCCATTGCCACCTAGGCATTACTTCCCCTGCTGAGAATCATAAATGATCGACCTTGATTCGCCATGGGAGAGCAATCTTTCACAAAAGGGAACCAGACACGATATGGAGGGAACTGGGAAACCTTTCCAATTTCTTTGGGGACAAAACAGCGACGCTTTTGTCTTGGCGTTTTCAGTTCAAGTTCAAAACCATAAAAATATTGGCGTAACTTGGGCTTACAAAGTTGACAAAGGCCTGAACTTAAAAGTCCGATTCCCCGGGGCCTTTCATTTTGAGTGAATACGTATTGGGTTCATTATTATTTCTGTATTTCCCTGCCCCGCCTAAAGCCACAAACCAATCGAAACAGAAACAGAAACAGAAATTTGCATGAAAACAATTGCAGAGCATCCCATCCAGGTGGGAAAAATAGAGAGTAGTGGCAGAGGTCCGCGAGTAGTGGCACTTTAATTGGCGCATTAAGTTGTTTTCGCTTGGGTTTGGCCTGCGATTTGGAGTGGCTTTTGGCTTTTGGCTTTGCCCACTGCCAAAGGAGAAATGGCATAACAAGAGTGGCGTTTTTGTTCGGATCGTCGCTGGTGGGATTTGGTAATCCATTTTGTCAAAAGACATAAGACACGACGCTAAGCGAAGCGAGATAACGATAAAAGGCAGTAGATAACTGAACACTGAACACTAAACACTAAAACCCAAAAACATCATTCGCAATCATGAGGCTGCACTGTCGAAAGTGTTTTTGCCGCTGATACCCTTGAGTTTGGCGTTTCGGGCGTTTCAGGCGTTTCAGGGTCGTCGACAATCTCCAAGAGTTACATGACGAACCCGTAGGACTTCCGCAGCGTTAAAGAAAGTGCTTGTGAGTGAGTATTTAGGTATAAATAGTTTAAACACATGCTAATGCTTGGACTCTCCCCGTTTAGGGTATCCCTTTGTCGGCTTGCTATTTGCCTTAAGCTGCCATTGATGGGCGCACATCGATAAGGAGAATACGCAATTGAAATGCTGGTCAGCTCGCCAGTTCGATGCTCTTTTGTGCTCTGGCACAGCAATCCACTCGATGCCGCCCAATTCCGAAGCCAACAATGACCGGAGCGATTCGAAGCCGCGGCTAAGCAAATATTGCAAAATCAAGCGTTCGAACCTCAACCTTAGCTCAATTTCAACAATTCAACTAGCCATGGCTCATTGTTGAGCGGTGCAACAATGTCACTTAGGCAGCCGTCATAATGCGGCATTATGGCTATTTACTGCGCTGGGCAGGTTCCACGATGAAGAGGCCTACGGATCGCGTCTGACACAAAGCCAAAAGCGAAGATCGAAGATCGAGAAGGCTGAAGGCTGCCGTGGGCATCGTGGATAAAGCGTGACCCTTTATCGATTGGAATGCATATTTACGAGCGAGCCTACGATTTATTTCGGATCGTACAACTGGAGTGAGATGTGACCCCAAGGGAAGGTCATGTGGAAGGCTGTGGCTAATGCAGTAACATCGATATTTCTTATGTTGCACATCGCATCGAGTTGCGCGCTGCTTTTCTCGCAGTGTGCTCTTTGTCATCACCGGAATCAACGGCGGCCAGGAAATACCCTTTAAATCAGGGCAGGGCTGCCCGTCAGCGCCGTCATCATCATCCTTGCCTTCCGTCTGTCGCCTGCATATTTAATGGGTGACAAACAATGCAGCAATTTTGTGCTTCATCAACAGCCATGAGATGGCCAAAACAAGCGCAACGAAACGAAGCGAAGCAAAACAAAAAAACGGCAACGCAAACAACTGCAACAACTCGAAATTCGCAAGTTGCAACTGCAGCATCTTCGCTTCCTACTTGCATAAATCTCCACCTGTCCGTCTTTCAGTCTCGTGTCTTCTGTCTCGTGGATTTCGAAGCCGCATCTCTGCACCTCTGCATCTCTGCAACTCTGCACACTGCCACACAAATCATAATTTTGTGGCCACTCCGAGTGGCATCGCAGCGTAATTGTTTGTTATTGCTGGCTGCTTGGTTTATGGCCGCGATTACGTGAGCAAAACCTCTGGGGGAGAGTCCAAGGAATCAACTGGCTCATTGACAAAGTCACATACGAGTATTGCACATTTGATGCGATTGGCTTCGCTTTTGGCCTGCGATGGCCTGGCCTGGCTTTAAATGGATGGCTTAAGTGATGCAGAGCCGAAGATGCGGCTTGCTGCCCATGTCTATGCTGTTATGTGATCACCGATCAACTTTATGAACGGAGAAAACTATCAGCATCACGAGACTCACCTCTGATGGCAATAGGTTCTCTATAAGCGACCGAACCTGTAAATGCAATCGTTCTCCCCTGTTAAGCAAAATACCATCTCACTTCTGCTGCAATAAATATTCGTACTTGTAGGTATATTAAGAGAAAAACTTAAATCGTACGCTAAACCCGACTTGAGTAAGGCTAGTTATCCTTGAGTTTACCGGCACCGGGCTGTCCCAGCGATTTCTTCACAATCCCCGAACGCTCCTCCTGGGAATCTCGCTTGTAGAGCCTCAAGTGCGCCGGAGCGGGATAAGCGAGCGTTTGCCGAGCGATGGGAGTGAATCCTTGCTGTTGCGGCTGGTGCTGTCGGATCAGGCGCAGTACCTCCCAGCTGGGAATGTAAGAGTCGATCAGCGATTTTGAGGCACGGCCAGCGAACAAATCGGGCGTGGGATCCGGCTGCGATGGCCGGAATGGCCTGCTCCTCTCCGGGCCACCCGGTCTTCGAGTAGTGAAGCTCACAAAGCTGGGGGGATACGGTAGTGGAATCCGCGGCCCATTCGCGTAGTGGCGCTGGGGGGGCTGAGCGGGGGCGTAGGCGAACTGCTTGGACTGCTGCACCAACAGGGGCTGAGCCGCCAGCTGGTGGCTGGTGGCCCGGTTGCCCTGGGCGGCGAATCCGTAGATGAACGGCGTTCGGGCATGGGGCGGCGGAAGGGGGCGTGGCAGTGGCAGGGGCAGGGGCAGGGGCAGGGGCAGGGCATTATTGGTCACATATGGAATGCCGCGCATGCCCAAATCCAGGTCGTAGGGAACTATGGGTTTGCCGAAACGAGTCGTCGAGGAGGCCACTGTCGTCGTCGCTCCTGGGGGCGTGGGAGTGGGCGTGGAAGCCGTGGGGCCACTGGAAGAAGTAAAAAAAAAGAAGCTGATTAAGAAACGGATTAAGTCCTTTCAATTACAGCAATCGTTCGCTTCATTTGTCGGAAGCTAATGCGATTGTTAGTGAAATGCTGCCATTTCAACACTCTCAGCCACTAACTAACTAATTTAGCCATCCGAAATTGGCTGAAAGCGATCGTTGGGCCCAAAATAACGGCTCCTATCCGTCGCCTTTACGATTAGCATTTCTGTTGCCAATTTGCAATCTTCAAGCGGCAATTTACACGTCAATCAAGCGCCCAACTAGCCCTCAATCAGTTGGCCAGCAAAGGGGTAACCATCCTCACCCTCGGTAGCTCGTTGAGTGAACATTGTTATTGACTGCAGTCTAAGTTTTTAATTTATGAAATAGTCGCTTCTCAGTTCAAAGCGCAGATTCTGGATGTTTGTGTGCATAAGACGAGTTTCTCGTGCTTTTCATTGCATTTGCTAAATATAAATGTGCAATGCTTCTAGGTTAACTGAACGTTTCTCTTTCCAACTTGCTTAAATACATGCACGTCTTATATTTTAAGTGTTTTTCTTTTATAATACTTTTCAAATTATCCGGTTCGCTGTTATTAATTTCTCGTAACAATTTCCAGTTTGTGACTTAAGCTTCAAAGCTTGAAGCTTTTCGTTGGCAGACTCGCCGTGGTCCCAGCTAAAACCTGGGCTTTTCCTTACCCAGTTTTAGGCCCCGAAAAAGCAGTTTAAACTTAAAAAGCTCGCTTCCAGCCAATACTCACACATAGAGCACACCTGGCAGGTGGGAAGGAAAGGCGTAACCCGAACTCAGCTGCTGGTGCTGCTGCTGCAGCTGACGCAGCTCCTCCAATCGCCGATTCCGCTCGAGATCCCGCTCGCGTTGGGCGGCCTCCTGGATGTAGCTAGGCGGCAAACTGGCGGCCACCTCCGGCTGCCATTCGTAGTGATTGGGCAGGAGTGGCGGCCGGTTGAGGTCCAACTGCTGGAGGTGGTCCCGTTCCAGGTCGTCTAGGCGGAGTGGCAGTGGCGAGGTGTCGTCATCGTAGCCAGAAGGTGGTAGGATGCCGTGGACATCGTTGATGAAAACGACGAATAGAAGAATGAGGTGGTGCAACACCTGTTGGGAGTGGACGTACAAAGGTTGCAACAATTAGAAGGGCCATATCAACAACGTGTCGTAACGTAATCCCCCAAAACCAGACCCCAATCAATTATCAACAAGTGTATTTGCCACTTTGCTCTTTGAATGAGAAGTGTGTCTTTGGCAATTTTAACTTTGGTGAAAGGCTCAGTTTTGGCGCCTTTCGCTGAGCTGCGAACTGACCACGCCCACCAGCGCCTATTGATGCGATTAATTGCGTTCGACCACCTTTAATTTAGCTCGAAATTGCAAAAGGGCGGTTAGGGGATTTCCCAGTGTTTTTCTTTGTTTCTCGTTCGCAGCTTTGTTCGCATTCGAGAGGAACTCCACGCCATCGCGCACTTTTGTCCGAGACAAATCGCGGTGTGAAATCTGGGCAGGCCAAGCCCCGGCGGTGGGTGTAACATCCCCCTTTGTAGCCACCTCTTCGATTCGATTTTGCACCTGCTGGCGAAGGCCGCACCACTGATAAGCCATAAGCCACTTGCGGAGCGGCCTTTCTAAAACAAAAACAAAAACGAAAACAAAATCTGTAAATCGAAATTGCAAGGTCTGGCCAAGCAACTTACGACCATTTGTCACGCGATGAAGAAGCATTCCACTTGATGTGGAAATACTTGCCGCTGATGCTGCGCACTCTGCAAAACTAGTTGCAGCCACTAAGTCACATGCGTGGCCCAGTTTTAGTGGTCTTTGAGATTAGTTATTTGAAATATTTGGATTTTTTGATATTTTGGATATTTTGGTGGCCCCGGGTCGGCTAATGATCCCATCTAGGTCGAATGACATAAGACGCAAGATGCAAATGCAGCTTGATTGATGGCCCACAGAAGCTAATGAAGTGCGCATCGTTAACACGCGTAATTTGCGCCCCTCGTTCATGCGAAAAACGGGCAAAAGCGACCACACATAGTGTCAGCATGAGAGCAGAAAATGTCTAAGGACAAATTAAATGAAAAAAACCGAGCTTATACAAAAAACTTAAGACACAAACTAGGCCCATGGCCAGCGAATGAACTTCGATTAGGTCGGCTGATTGCAGTTCAAGTCTAACGAGAGGAAGGGCAATGCCAGATGTTGCAAGAGCTTAAGAAGTTTGGATTGTTGTTCGCTGAAAATGGTTGATCGCTGGTTCAACGGCCTTTCAATTTAGTTTTCTCCACGCAAGGGAACTTCAGTCTCCGATATCTATCTATTACTATGTTTCCCTTTATCCGGCCGACTACCTCACCCAACTTTCCCCCTTTTGTCTGATCAAATAATACCCTGGTGACATATCATACCATTAATCAATTCGCGGACCATGAAATTGTCTCAGCTGGGCTCATTAGAGATATTTTGTCTTCGAACAACTCAATCAACCATTCTCCCTTTCATGCCGTCTAAATATGGATTCGAGTAAAAGTAGGCGTATATGTTATATGTATTTTTTTGCATTTTCTTTTTTCTGGTAATCTGTTTTTCCGCCACTATGGGCGTAGTCCGTATAATGGGTATGTCTTACAGCATCTAAAATGTTATTACACTTTTTATGTTCTGACCCCATTATCAGTGTATCTTTACGCATCTAATGTATCTACGTATCTATTTGAGACATTACTCCTTTCGAGTCGGCTGCAAACTCACCATGATTACAGAACTCCGTTTATGGTCTCCTCCGATAATAACTTGTGGCAAAGTTAATGATGGGGCTGCTCGACCGCCTTGATCCGGCTAAATGACGATGATCACTCCTTGGAGGGAACCAGCACAGACAACATTCACCAGTTCGCACGTAACACACTCAGGTGCACCAAAAAAAAAACAAACAAACTTAGCACTAAACTCGAGCCATGTCCAACAGTCAGAAATGAAAATGAAGCCGACAAATGGGAAGTAAAACCAAAAACTAGAAACCAAAAACCAAAATCCAAAACCGAACCGAGCGAGAGACGAGCGCTGAGGCGACTGCAATGGCGCGAAGCTCTGACACGCCGTTTTATAGTAGTCGCGTCTAATTCTCTCTGGTCTCAGGTATTGAAACTCAAATCCAAATCTCGAGTATCGGAACCAAATGGGCAGCATTTGTTGGCCAGCTTCACGAGATGCAGATGAGCGAAGGATGGAAAGATGGATAGCTGGATGGAACACAAAGGCGGATTGGATCCGTTTAGAGCTGCGCCAATTAATTGAAAAGGAAAGTAAATAGCTGCAAGCTCGGCAACTCAAATTGAAATCATTTCAAACTCAATCAGCGGCAACAAAGCGAGCACCGCCCAGCAACAACAAAGGCTACTTTACGCGTTTTAAAGTGTTATAACAACGTCGGACAAGTGAAGCGCGCACCCCTTCGAAACAGCTATGTAAGTCATCTACATCTGGAGGAAAATACGGCCATTAATCGAGTTCGAGCCGCGTGGATTCAAACTCAAAGTCAGACCATCGATAACCGCTCATTTCCGCAGCCAAAACTTTGTGGCAAGTGGCCATCGGACCCATCATCCAAATCCCATTACAAGGGATTCACCGCCACGGGGCGTCCTCCACATTATCGTGGGTATATCATCTCGTCATCGTCGATGCATCGACGACATGTGGAATGGTCGGTGATTGAAAGTGAATTGTGGCACTCAGTGCGCAGTGGAATGCCTCTCAAATTGCGTTTGGTTCCCTTCCTGAAGAGGGTCAGCCGATGAGTTGAACGCGTTCTGGGAATTGGCAATATAGTTCTTCACGTTTTATCAAAAACACTAATCTTAAATAATTTTTTCGGTGTCGAATGGTCTGCAGAGTATGTTATTCATACTCGTCAATTCTTCAGAATCTAGGGGTAACTTCATTCCAAATAGCCTGAATATGCCAGTGTATAATTTTCACAAATGTTTTCAAAGAAATCTCGCCAACTAAAAGAGTATGCCATTGTCGATGTGGCGCCGCGAAAGACCTTTGGTCATTTGCTCCACTTAATGGGGCAAGTGAAAGATGCTTTGGGCAGAGCCCCTTTACTTACTACGCGACTTGGAGTAGAGGCCTCATTTCGATCGGAGCCAGTTAATTCCAAATAAATTTGTCAAATTGTGACAATTAGGAGTAGACAGCTGAAATGGCTGGCAGCCCAGACGCACTGACGCAACTTCAAGGTTTTGCGGCACACACGCTGTAAAAACTATACTACCCGTCTCTGTTCCGGTCGGGCGCGAAATGGTGTTTTTGGTCACTTTCACGCAAATGAAAGAGAAACAAAAACAATGGCCTGCATTCTGCACAACGACCTTCGTCTTGGGGTTCCAGCCCAAAAGGTGGAGGAGCACTCCTCCATGAGGTGTGTTTTTGTTTGCTCGCTGTGCAAATAAACAGTCTAGATACGGCAACGTCTGGATTTCATTTGGGTTTATTTGGTTGGGTCATCTTAGCACGGTGTTGGTGTGAAAACGAAAGGTGGAAGCCTTAGCACTGAAGAACGACGCCAGTGACTCAGATAAAAGGGAGTTATGTAAATTAAATGGTAAAACAATTTTGTCATGTGTGCTATATACTGCTCATGTTTCCCATTACATTAACAGCGACTGTTATGAGAAAATTTATTTCGTAGTCACCAGATGGAAGGGTTGTGTAACATTTCAAGGTGGGTCTTAGAGAATTACATTTTTGTGGACTTCTAGACTTCTACTTGTAGAAAGTAATCACAGGCTCACGGGCTATACGAGTATATAAGGCTTTATTCCAGAAGAAAAAAAAGAAGAGGCTTAAACGCTGCGAGACTTTGGCGGTAGCTTACATCCTATGGCCTGCTCCTCAGGTACATGTGTGGACCATTGGCGGAGGCGTCATGGCCTCCAGGCAATCCCATCGAGGCGGCTGGCAAGTACTCGTTGAGATTTAGCGAGAACGAGGGCGGATAGTGTTTGTCCTTCGCCTCGCGATTGATGCGATAGGTGTTGCGGAAGGCGGCCGCTGGATTGATGGACCCACTGGCGTATCCCTGGAGAGCTGCGTAGCTGGGTGGCAGAGCACTCAAAACAGTGGCCGTCCGTCCTCCGAAGTCTGGCTGGGCGCCGGCTGAGATTGCTGGAGGAGATCCGGCTGCTGCTGCGGCAGCCGAGAGGTACGGCGAGATGGGCACAATGATCGGTCGGGTGGGGATCAGTTGAAGGTACTGAACCCCATTTCCGGATCCATCTTGGATTGTCTGGGCCGGCAGATACTGCATGAGCATGGGAGTCGATGGCAAGCTGGCCACACTTGGTGTTCCGGCCGTTTGCATGGGCGTGAAGTTTGTCTCCATTTCGGGCATCTTGTACGAGGGCTTAAACGCCGGATCCGTTTGGGAAAGAATCTGGCCTTGCAGCTGATTTTGGAGCTGGGTTTGAGCCTGGTTCTGGACCATGTCGTACCCACTGGCATAGGCACTCAGCGAGTTCAGGTGGGCCTCCTGTTGCTGCTGCTGCTGTTGCTGTTGCTGCTGCTGTTGCACCTGTGGCAGGCTATTCGGGGACTTGGAACCCTTACTGGCTATCTCCGGACTCGAAACGGGGGAGCCCTGAAGCAGGGGCACCACAAGGAGATGCAGCAGGAACAGGTGGCAATGGATGTAAATGTGACGGTGGCACTGCATCTACACGTAGCGGATGGGGAAGAAAATATAAAAAATGTATTTGCAATAGCTATTTAACTTGTTAACCCAAAGGATACTTTGGTATAACAGCCACAATCAACACACTTTGTCGCAAACTGGACTTGTAACTAAACTATATTTATATGCTGTGGATGGATCACCTTTCGAAACACTTTTTTATGAACACAAAAACAAAAAAGTATGAGTATTTCACCTCGCTGAATTTTCCCCTGCGATTTGAATTTCAATGCTGCCTGGGAGCGTGGAAAACACTTGCACTTTTCCTGGCGAGCGACGCGCTTTGATTAACACGGCTGCATTGCAAACTTGGCTTTTATATCGCTTGACGACCAATTTCCCGCAATTGGCAACAGGCTGCGCCTCCGACTGCAAACAACAACATTTGGCTGGCTCCACTGTCTTGGAGGCATTTCAGCTGCATTGTTGCGTGTGCCAGGCTCTTGCATGTTGCAGGTTGCAAGTTGCAAGTTGCTATTTGCTAGTTGCATTTGCTATTTGCTAGTTGCCGTCGTGTCCATCGCTTTTGGCTACGCTTCAAGTTCAAGTTTACAGCCATCGATCGCGCATCAGAGTTTTGGTTTCGTTGTCGTTTCGTTTTCGCTGTCGATCGACTTGCTTTGCTTTACTTTGAGCCGCTGGGTTCCGTCTTCCGAATCCGAATCCCAATCCGAATCCGAGTCGGAATTGGTTGTTTGGGGGCGTGTCGTTTTTGGATCTCGGAACGGTCCTCTTCCGCGTTGCATATGGGCATGGCTACGGCTGGCTAACGGGTTTGCGAATCTTTTTCGGGGGGCTGACAGCCACCAATGGCTGGCAGTTTGGTCGGTGGTTATCCGTTTCAAATTGGCTAATGGGTTTGGTCAGAAAGTGGGCTTGCGATTTGATAAATGTACGGACACTCTTTAGACAAACATGTGTACTTGTTTTGGCAAGAAAGGCACACTGAATCGAAATGTAATTTTATGGTTATTCAAATTGGAATTTGTGATGAAACCTATTGTCCCACTGGGCCCATTAAAACGCTTTTGCTATAATTTGAACCGTAAATTTAGCTATTGACTCAGGTTGACTGATATGGGATGGTCACCACCAACTCAGGTGGCAAAGCTCTGGGCGCTTCCCTGGGCTTGGGTCGGCATTGAAGTGCCGGGCTCGAGGGTTCCGAAGATCAGCGTGGAGCAGCGGCGATAAAGGCAGCGACGCCAGTCGAGCATCCCGCAACGGAGCTTCCGGGGCAACGCGGTGGCCCATAGGGAGAGCCACAGAAGACAGGCGCCGATCAGTCCGGTAGTCAGGCCCAAGGTCCAGTACTCGCAGGCCAGGAAGGTTTTCTCCTCGACGGCCAAGGCCTGGAGTATGCCCACAATGGCGCACTGGCAGAGGGACTCAATGCGGTGCCACAGTTTGCTAAGGGTCAGATCCAGCACCAAACAGCAGACGCCTGTTTCCAGGAAGAGCGACGCCCAAGACGACTCATTGCTCCGAAGGTTTCGGTTCCCATTCCTAAACCGCTGATCGGCGGGCGAAGCACTTGGAAACATCCTCACTGCGTGAAGAAGGGTCACCACGCAGGCGGAGAAGAGCCAGGCGCCCAAAAGAGGAGCAGCGGAGCCGGGAGATCCGCGAAAGTAGTAATAGTACGAGATGCCCAGCACCGAGTGGAGCAGCACCGCCATGATCAAGGCCGTGAGTCGAGCCATCTCAAGAGTAGGTACCCTTCGGTCTACAGTTCCACTAGTACTAGTAGTGAGTCAAGCCGGGTCAGAAAACCAGAAACTAAAGTATTCAACTGACTTTTGAAGCAGTAGTCACTACTTGCTCAACCCTGTGATTCTCGTTGTTCCTTTGCTTAGGATAAAGAAAGCAAGTTGGCAGCTGTGTGAGCAACATTTACTATAATCGATAGTGTCTTTGCAATGTGTAATTTGTGAGTGATGCAGCATTCTAGCAGAATGCCCACCTGTAAAAGCATAGGCTTCCTCTTTGTGTAATCACAGTCACTGTCCGCGTCACAGTCGAAGTCACAGACACCGCGGCAGTGGCAATTATCAGCACAAGTCAAACAGGCTTAGATGTCAAGGCCTTGTTTTCCTCATTTCCAGTGGGCTCATTACGTGAGGCAAGTGGAAATGGGAAATGTGCTCAATAGTCGTCAGCTTACTTTCATTTTTCATCGGCCAAAGCTTTGCAGCTCCAACTTTTGGACTTTTAAGCTTTAGCATGATCATGGAGAGACGCTTAGATAAGCTTTTCCAGATCGTCTGTTCAACCAAGCTTACATCAAGATTTTCATTTATAAAATGATTAAGTTGGCTGGCAAGACAAGTATTAAAGCTATAGCAGCCATAAAGCTGTTTCAGACCAATGCCATGGCGCAGCAGACTGCGTGGGCACACAGCCACAGCCACAGCCACCCTGAGCTGCAAATGGTCTCGTAATGCCGTGGATGCACTCGCTCCGCACTGCTCTCTGCCGACATGACGTCCCAATCCTGGTGTTCCTGCTCCGCTTGCTCTGTCAGCAAGTCATAAATCTTCGGCTTCAACTGAACTTGATACATCAAAATGTTGGTCAAATTAAATTTCTTGCGCCTCGTCCTTTCCCCGCTGCTCCTTGATCCTCCCAGGGATTTCACTGCGAGCAGCTGCCAAGTAATTCGTCAAGCTGCTTTGTCCTCCTCCAGCGGCTGTGCTTCTTATCTCATCTCTGGGTGAGCATTGTTGCTGCGCTCCTCTGTGCTGTTCAACTGTCTGACTCCACCACCCACTATCCACTATCCACCACCCACCACCCACCACCCACCACCTATCAGCCCCATCCCTGTATCGCCTCGTTTCGGCTGGCTTTCATGTCAACTGCATTTTTCTTTTGCTGTGTTGCTTGTTGTGTGCTGTGCGCTTTTTCACTGCTTTAAACCACTTAATGGGTTTTTTTTATGTGGACCTGGCTTAGATGGAAAAGCGCAAGGGGGGAGGTGGCCTGGCGGTGCCTCGGGGCTATTCATGCTGCAGCTTTCTTGTAGCTTCATTCACAAAGACTTGCAATTCATCAAATCTCGTTAGCCTCGGCTTTTATAGAAAATCTGCAGCTGCTTTTGCTTCTGCTTCTGCTTTTCTTTTCGGGGTTTCGGGCGGCTGTTCCTCTCATTCATCTGCCACGCCCACGGACACGGAGTGGGCGTGGCCGAAGCTGTAGCACCGATTCCCATCCCCACCCCCATCCGCATCCGCTTTTCCATTTCCAAACGGCATCCTATCCACTGGGATCCTCTGTCATTATTGACTGGCAAAGACTTTAAGGCAACTTTTGTTCCGCTCCTATGCTCCTATTAACTTTAAGGGCTTTATCTTACCTTCTCCACCTGAGCTCAGATCCGATCCATGGTTCTTTCCTCTCCTTTGAGCTAATGAAAAGTGTGTGTCTCCCAAAATGGAGCGGAATCCTTGCAGCTGCAACAGGCCCTCCTAGCGAGCAGCTCATCTAAATGAAAGTAATCCAAAGCTCAGCCAAGGAACAACAATAAACGAGTTGTCCAATGCATTTTTAATGCCTCCACCACCGCCCAACCACTTGCCCACCTGTATAAATCCGTGATGGAGCAATGGGGATGCTCTCCACTTTACCAAGGTAGCCTCAAAACTGTTTCCAGCATTGAATATGCGATTAAATAACCCTTTTGTGCTGCCTTCACAACTATTTTCTGGGATCAGCACTAAGTTTCGCCAAGACGGAGTGGTTGAAAATGTGGGTATGCTTTGTAAATAGGAAATCTGTTATTCAACACTGGTCTGGAAACAACACTGTTCGCATAATGTATTTGAGCGACCAAGCAAACACCGCTACCAATACTGTTTTGTCTGTTAGCCAGTGTTTTTTTTTGTGGATGCCAAGTGATGGCAAAGCATTTGCCCCGCACTTTGGCTAAGTGGGAGATTCATGGAAGCAGCTGCTCCTGGCCACCGGAGCACCACCTCCACCTCCACCTCCAGCTCCAGCCAGCCAGCCAGCTCCTTCATTTGCTCCCACTTGGCAAAGTGCCCCATATCACGCACAGGCAAACATTGCAAGGACCCCAAATGCATTCAATTAACAATTTCTCCGGCCCTAGACCTGGCACACAACTTTACTGGCTGCTGGAACTGGGAACTAAAAAAGTGGGAGCAGGAGGAGCAAGAGGCGGCGGTGGCTTTTAATCAAAAACTTGCATTTGCCAAGTGGCAGGGCAACTTTTTGGGCCAAGTTTGTGCGGCGCCAGAAGTGGGTAAACTTCTCCAAATTGTGACGTCGACAAAAGTCAAATCGTGCCGACTCGCAGCACCCTGAAGGCCTCACATGTTCATTACGCTACACGATTGCAATCAGGGGAATGTGTTTTGGGGTGCAGAATTAAAAGATACCGTATGAAAAGGAGTTGGACGATGCGAAAATGTGTGTAATTTATATTTTTATATTAACTCTCTTTCAACCAGATTGTATCAATGATCCTGACTCTTCCTAATGATATATGCATATCTGAGTAATCTACGAGTAAATACAGTTGGCTGAATTAGGGCTTCATTTATGAATCCTAATGCAATTATTGATTACAATTCGATACTCGTTGCGGCAGCAACCATTCTGGACGTTGTCAGTCAGCAAGTGAACGCCGTAAATTGCCAGGACGCCACTCTGCACTCGGCACTCTGTGGAAATTCAAAGCATAGCCGAGAAATGAGCGTAACCGAAGCCAAACACCCGCATGCCAAATGGAGCTCCACCTTCAGACCATCCCCAATCGTTTTCCCTTCTGTTTGTCTCGCCCACTCCATTTTAAAAGTACTTTTGGAGGACTGGGACTGGGGGGATGGCTGGCGGGCTCGTGCCATTTAGCAAAAGTAATTAAGCGTCAATGCGTTTCATTTGTGTTACTTTTCTGGGCAATTACGGCGGAAAGTTTGCAGTTTTGCAGTAGTGCGGCGCAAAATGTTCATTGTTAAAGGCAGATTAAAGGCCCCTCAGACAGCAGAAAGATTTTATTTCGCCGCCCGAGAATCGATCGCAAAAAAGGGGTTACTTGCTGTTTGATACTGCGTCAACAGGTGAGCCCAGCGTCCGACTATCTGACTGTTATCAGCGTTTTCCGTTCCATCATCATTATAATCATTATGATGACCGTCGTCATGGCTGGCAAGCAACGGTATACCAACTACCGGGAATCCCTCCACTGGCCACTGCAATGTGCTAAAAGTGTTTCTCATTAAAAAGTTGTTTCGCAATTTTATTATCCTGTCGTTACCGAGGTATTTGTAGTCCAGAGTCCGCAGTCTCCTACTCGTCTTCAACCTCCATCTCGTCCTCCAGGTGCTGGTTGCTTCATTGTGACGAGCTGAGCTCAACCGGGGTGACAATGTCAATAAAGCAAACTTCGCACCCGGCCAAAAGCCCTGCGGATTCCCCTCATAAAATTATTTTTAAATTACTTGTAAAAATAACAGCAACAGCAGGAACGCAGGTCAACGCAAAAAAAAAGTTGGAAATGCAAAAAGTTTAAATAAAAGTGGGGAAAACAAAAATTATACCGAGCGGGAAACTGAACGGAGCAAAACAAAATCATTCACGATGCTCAAGGGATGGAAACCAGGAATTATCGTTGCATAGTTTGGCGAAAACAATTTACACAAAACATTAGGCTTTCACAAGTATTTCTACTCTGAGTGAAAGGGTGCGACTTTGACCTCAAGATCGTTCAGTTTTGGACACCGTATCCAGTTAGGTAAAAGGATTAGCACCCTCGATGAAACCTCAAGCGCTAATTGATAAAGCCCAACAGCGCGCAGCCAAAGATAATTCAACATGAAGGTGGCTATTATCGCAGCCACTCTCGTTTTGATTAGATTGCGCATTCGGCTTTGCGGAAACTATCCTCAGTGCTCAGTACGCAGTCGAGCATAATGTCAACAAGAGGTGGCTTCATTCAGCTCACAATTCTGGTGACGGCGAGCCTCTTGGCGATCTTTTTCCTCCTAAGTGCCCTGCAGAGCACGGATGACCGGAAACCCACCCAATATGGTGTGGAGACCGGACCTGCTGGGAAGGTGACTCCCCCAGCCATTCGCCACCTGGAGGAGCCCATCAAAGAGGAACTTGTGCGGCAATTAGATCGGGAACTGCCCGAGGTGGACTATGGCTTCTGGTACCATTGGGCCAAGCCCTTGGGCTACATGATAAACAGCACATGTGCCTCGTATCCCGATCCTCTGGATCTGCAGCTGCACAACATACACTGGCAGACCTTCGTCAACTCGAACGTGACCTTTCGCCTATACGCCGCGTACTTGGACAAACGGAAAGGGCTCGAATTGCCCACGGTAAGGATTTTGGCCACTGCCAATCAGATCGGCAACAAGTTTCCCCCAACCCATTGTCAAATGTGGTTCGAGAACTATCTGGAGCCCATTGTCGTGCCCGTGGCGGAGTTCCTGAGTGTGTGGGTGAAGTCGTGGGCCCATAAGCCGAAACTTAACTACCCGCATCTGCTGAGCTGTCCGATTCCCAGGGAATTGCCGCCGCCTGCGATGATGGCCTTTCCCAAAACAGTGTCACTAGTTGCGCGGCATTGCGAGAAGGCCAGTAATTCGCTGAGGGTCAACAATAATCAGAAGCAGTCAGTGCCGGTGGGGTTCTCGTCCTCTCACAATCCCAAAACTCAAAATGCCACCATCAAAAGCCAAAATGAGGCTCCTTTGAACTTTGGAGTCTGCCTCAAGGGACTCGATTTTCCCTACGTGGACTTGTCAGAGCGCCTTATCGAGTGGTTTGAGCTGCAGCGCATTTTGGGCGCCTCACGCATCTACGCCTACATGTACGACGTTCATCCTGCGGTGCAGAGGGTGCTCGACTATTATCAGCGCACTGGATACCTGGAGCTGAGACCTTTGACCCTGGCCAATGGCATGCCCCGACTGAGGCACTACCAGCACATGCTGCTGCAGCAGAGGACGCTAGAGAAGCGACTGAACGAACTGATACCCTACAACGATTGCTTCTACAGGAACCTGTACCGCCACGACTATCTGGTCAATGTGGACGTGGATGAGGTGATAATGCCTTTGGGTGAACACCGCAATTGGCATCAGTTGGTGCAAAAGGCACACGCCTTGGAGACTGAACAGGGCGGCAAGTGTGCAGGTCGCTTCCCCGCCTTGTGCTTCATTAATTCGTACTTCACCAGAGTGCCCACCGAGTTCAGCAACCACGAGGAGCAGGCTGTCGCCGGCGAGTTGTTCGTCCTCCGGCACACGCAGCGGATCAGGAACTACTCAATGCCGGGAAGGGCTACCAAGTGTTTCCACAATGCCCGTCTGTCCTTGACGCTGCACAACCACTTCACCCTCAAGTGGCTGCCCGACGGCTGTAATCCCCGGACCATGAACACATCGATGGCCCAAATGCAGCACTACCGTGAACCCGATTTCAAGTATGATGCAACCGATCTGACGGATGATCGCAGTGCCTGGAAATTTGCCGGCGAACTGCGAGCCGCTGTGGAATATGTGTGGCTTCATCTGGACGATGTGCTGGCCCAAATCAGCGATCTCGAGGACCAGCAACAGCAGCTGGTGGAGGAGTCGCTGGACCAGGAGGGCGTCGAGCTGGACCGTGGCCAACAGACTCTTCAGCCATTTATTCTGCTGCCTCCGCAGCCTGTATCATGAGTTTGTTTTACGTTATTGGTTCGGTGCCCTAAACGAAACCAATTTTTCCATGTTTGTCTAACTGAATAATTGGGCAAGGGGCAAAACGGTTGGTGACATTATGCTTATCTATATTGCTGATAAAAGAATTCATGCTCTAATAGAATCGTAGAATTGGTCATCAAATGCTAGTTACCTGTAGATATATTTTCTGTTCATAGCCTAAACCATGTCGAAGTACGTGGTATCTGATTATATATATTGATACAAAACTTTTTTTAGGTATTTATTTATTATATTTATATGGTGTGATCAGTGTACTCAGCATGTTATTTAAGATATTTATTTATGTTTAATGTGGTATAAATAAATATTTAACCCAAGCTGCGATCAAGACTTATCGCCTGAAAGTGAAAATCCCCCATCCATCATGCTCCAGTACTTCAGAGCGTAATTTCTCGACCGATTTCGCTGATATGATAGGTCCATGATTGATTGATCCATTTACTTGGAGCAAATGGACTTTGGTATAGTTTCATGCCGAGCAGGGAAGCCTCATTAACTCCGAACACACAGTTCATTACGGCGGGAAAAGTGGGCGTTTATCGGTAAAATTGGTTCCTGCGCGAAACCCACGAATCATCGCAGACTTGTTGTGTTCCACTAGCATATTTTCTGACAGACTACAACACCGTTTTTCATTTTTGATCGATATATGTAGATGCGAAAGGGGCTCGTTAAGATTCATATTTGTTCCTCAACATCGTATATGCGATATATATTATATGCTTATGTATAGGTTCTTCCTTCGCACCCTATGGAATTTTGTGGCTTATTGAAAATTTATGGAATTAAAGCACCGATGGCATTGCAGATACCACGAGCGAGATAGTAATCCTTCCAAGGTAGAGCCCACGGTAAAAACTTCAGATTCAATGGCCGTACAATTGCCCAATTTCGCTAGGTAAACTCATAACGCATGATAAGTCCACAGTTTATACTTTTGTAGTTTCACACTGCTACCCCGACAACTTATCAGCTCGTAAAACTGATGCCGCCCTATTAAAACTTCGCCCAAGAGTATGCCATGATCCATAGGGATCCCCGATACCGCTGCTCTTGTAGTTGTAACTGGGTCACTCCAGGTATTCGCAAACAGTCGATCCCTGTCCCATCAGTAAAATTGCATTCATCGTTTTTCCCAGCTCCATGCAAATACAATACTGCAGTTCCGGCCAGACATGGTTGGGCCCTTGGTCAGCGGAGGTTCCAATTGGACGGGTGCGGGTGCGTTCATCGTAATCGCGTTTATTATTGGCAATTCCTTAGCAGACATTAAATTATACGGCACCGATACTCGGTACCCACTATACACACACAAACAAAAAAAAGTCAGTAATACACAGGCGTTTGTTATCGCAAAAAAAAGATAACCTAAGTATGTTCTCCATTCAGGGGCGCATCAGGAGCAATGTGGCGCCCAAAAGAGGGCCGGCCAAGGAGTAGGCGAGTCCAGTGGCTGTATTATTGCTGGAGGCGGCCAGCAGGATGGGCTTCTCGTTTGCACGAGCCTGCATCCAGGACTGGCAGTCGGTCTCGTTCTTCACGAATTTGAAGACGGACTGAACGATGTTGGCGGTTGTGATCTGGGTGCACTGCTCCAAGTGATGGATGACACAGGACTCGAAGCGCTGTAGATCCACGCAGTGGGTGGGCGAGAATAGGAGCTCTGGGCGGCTCATCAGGTCCGGAACTTGGCCATCCTTGGGTATGTACTGATGAAAGGATTGGTTGAGGCAATTGCTAATGGCCTCCTTGTTGGCCTCCAGGCACTCGGGTCCCTGCTCAGCAATGAAGAGGGCAATCTGATCGCCACCACGCGAACATGCGAATCCCAGAACGGACGCCCCAATGCGGGTAACCGTCTCCTGGTGGCGCTTCTCCTCGGCGGTCAAGCAGTGCTGGGCCTTCTCGTTGAACTCCTTCACACAGGCCACCGCCTCCGGTGCCTTCTGGCAGTACTTGCTAAACACTGTGTCCAGGTCGCCATTCGGCTTCGCCACATCCATCTCCTCCTGCAGAGCCGTCAGGTTGACCACGCCGTTGAGGCAGTTGCTCATCTTCGCTGCCGCCCGCTCGATTTCCGCGTAGAAGGTCGCGTTGTCCGCTCCATTCACCTTCTTGCATTTCTCACGATATATCCTTTTCATATCGTCTGTAAGAGACATCACAGAGAAAGGATATAAAAGGGTCCACTCCGAACAGAAGGGGAATATAGCCAGGGGATGGTTATGTCACTGCCAATGTCACCAAATCTTACCGATGCTAACGTTCGTGTTGCGGTACTCGGGTGGTAAGAACTGGGCTGAAAGTCCGCCTAGCTGGCTGGGATCCAGCTTGGGGCTCGCCGAGTCAGCCGTGACCTCCAGGAGCAGAGCGCCCAGGGCAGCAAGTAGGCAGACGCCAACTATCCCGTACTTGTTCATGCTGGTGTTGTATGGAAAGCTCGATGTGGTGGTGGTGGTGGTATGGTGCGGAGATCTGTCTGATCCGTCTGTAGATCCGACTGTATTTAAGTGTTGCCCGTGACTGAATGAGAACGACTGCTCCCGGACGAAGCGACATGGCAAAGCTAAACCAAGCGGCGATGACGCCGCACAGTGGAATTTGCTGTGCGCTGTCTTTCCTGATAATCTTAATATGCTTCCTTGAGTGTTGAGCTGATTAATGCATTTATATATTCGTCATTATTATTTAGTTGCAATGGTCATCGCAGTTCTTTGCGACCTTCGTTCGCATTACTCTTACTTAATGCGGAAATAGGATGCTGCTATCAAAAATATTAAAATAAATAATTATAAATATCTTTAAGCTCGATTCCACTGGCAACGATTAGAGCATGCAATGTGTTTTGCGAAGTGAGTGCGCACATTGAATCACTGTGCAGTTGCGTTTCGGCTTTGTTCAATCAAACGACAGTGACATCATTCACACTTCGGCCACTGTGGCCAAAGTACAAAGTTTTTCCAGGGTCTGATTCTTTTTCCGGCAATTACAAATCGCAGATAAACGCGAGTGATTCCGCGGCAAGTGGTTGGCCGATCCCTTTCCGGTACCAATTATGATCAAGTGGAAACTATCTATCTGCAGAACCATGAACGGTGTCGCCGAATTGTAAATTTGCTAAGTTCCTAGCCTCGATACTCGGCCGTTTGGTATTGCATTGCTCATGATACATAGTATATCTTATCGGCATATTGGTAATATTTATGTACCGGTTATCGCAATTGCTGGCGGTCTCTGTTGTTTTTTGTTTTGGATTTTGCCCGGTATTTAGTAAAAATTGGGCATATTGTTTACTGAGCTAATTTATGCTATGCGTTTCGTTTGCAGAAGTGTAATAAAATATATTTATGGGCTCAGACGAAAATGACCTGTTATGTGTTTTATGGCCGCCAACTCACCAACCGCAGTCGGAGATTTTATTCGGACTCGGCTTCCTTCCTTCAAGTTACTTAGATTCACAGCACCAACCTGAGGCGGCCTGACTGCCAGGTATCTGATAGTTGGCAACCCAACCCAACATGCTCGCGCTTCCAGTTGAGTCGGCAATCTGCCACCACACGGCAACAACAGCGTGGTTGAAAACTAAGAACAAAGCGTCGGTGATCGGGGTGCCTGGGACTTATGTGGCTGTTCCCCGATCGATGGTTACGATTGCGGAATTTTTCTTGGGTCGACGGTTGGCGGTTTCAGGTGGCTCTGTGCTTACGTCTCTCTGTGTTGTTTGGGCAATGGGGTGGGGGCTTCTTAATCAATCCGCACTGAGTGCACTTTACGATGCATACATATCGTACATGCAAGTATGTAGGTCGTCTTGTGTCGAAGCCCACGCTTTCCCAATTCCACGCGGCTTGCGAGAGCGGAGCAGAGAGCAAAATCTGTGGCCTGGGGAAGATTCTCTAGATGATCTTGGACTCGAGTTGAGACTGGACTAGCGTAATTGCTCGCTTGCTTCCGACTATCATAGCGCGTACATGAAACCGGTTGTCATAACGATTTCCACGACCGAGCACGGTGGTCAAGGTTCAGAAAGTATGCGGCATGACAGTACGATTACCTCATAGAGATCTGGAGTACCTGGACATTTCTCAACTTCAATAAGATTCGACTTCTGAAGAGATCTGCTAAGAAGAAGTGCTTATGAAGGCATCGACTAAAAGTATGCCAAGGGATCTGACGGGGACGGCCAAGTGATGGTAAATGCGAAGCATACTTTTAAGATTTGAAATTATTTATGCAAAGGCAAGCACTTTAAAAGGGCCTGAGAAAATATGCAGCCATGTTAATGGAATGGCTGTAAGCGGATTCATGGATTACAGTGATGAAGACAAGTATCGAAGGGCACATATGAACCGAACCGGCGGAGTAATTGGGCGCAGTGGGGGAGTACATGTTGATGGATCGCACTCAGGCGGAAGGGAAGTGCTGCAATAATGGACAATTATAATCAGTGGGTGGCCTTTCAAATATTGAGCATACGCAGCGTTGCACTCAAACATTGGCGGATGGGCTGCTTTTGAGGCCAAACAAATGAGCTGACCTCCTCTGATACTCCACCAGGCCGGTTAGCAATTTGTGGCAACTGCACACACACACACACACACACTTATGCAGCCTCCCCGCCCACTTCTCCCTGCTCGCCAGATGCTTTTCTTTCCGACTGCCTTAATCAGACATCGTGAAGGACTCGCTGGGGGAGGTAAGCTGGCTGTTTGCCTTGCTGGTTGCTTTATGAGCTTAGTCTGTGTGCTTTACTACCCAATTAAGCTAGGAAATACATTTAGCAAACTAATGAATTATAAACACACACACACACCCACACACGCACATAATCGTGGGCTGGTCAGCACTGAAACGTGGTCTTCTACGGCATTCGAATATTTTTGGCTTTCGACCTGCTGACGCCCTTCCTATGCCAGATGGCTAGATCCTCATCGCACCCACAGTTAGTTGTAACA